CCACCTTGGTTTACAAAAGAAATAAAAATTAAATTGAAACAAAAAAGAGTATTTTAGAAAAAGAAAATGTCGTTCTAAATTTTTTTAAAACTCGTCGGGAATTAATAGCAAATTTAAAATTAGAAATCAAACGAGCTCAGTCTGAGTATACAGGGCGATTCACAACTTATCCATAAAAAATGTTGGAATAGATGCGGCATGAGAAATGGAGTCAATATCGTAAAAAAAAATTTTGTAAAATCCTTATAGTTTCCGAGAAAAAAATTATTGAAGTTATAGTACATTCAACCACTACATAGCTGGAGAACTGTAGTCTCTAGCATCATTCGCAATACGCATGGAGAGCCACGTAGCCTCAGCGGCTCCGAATACTGAAATCCGATTTTGCAATCGTCGTTGCGAAAGTGTTTACCTGTTATCTGTGGTGTTTACAATAGTTTTTTAGTAGTTAGTATCAAAAATGGTTTGCGTGTATAGCAACTCAAGAGTTGTCAGGTTTTACAGTGGACCAGTTTCCAGTGCCGTGCAGAAGTGTATTTTTAAATCATTTTCGAACTTCCCTTTTTGATTTTTTCTTTACAAAATTGTATTTGTAAGGATCCCCTGTACATCCAGAATTTTTTTTTGGATAAGTTCTGAATCACCCTGTATTAAAAACATTGAACACAATTTAAGTAGGGACTCAAACAATTTTTGGAATTTTGTAAAGTCAAATCGAAAAAATAGAAGCATGTTTTTTTCCGTTGCAGGTCAGTATAAATTAATTTAAATTTTTAAATTTTTGTTAATAAAGCTTATATTGCATTCAATGAGGGAAAACAAGTTGACACTGTATATACGGGTAAATCATGACATACTATCCAAATTACATGCACTTGGTTTAAGTGACCATTTAGTAATTTTCTTCTCTTCATATCTACGGAACCGAAAACAATTTGTTAGTTATCAGAGTACTGATCCTGAAACATATCTAGTTAGATCTGGTGTACCACAAGGTTCGAATTTGGAACCATTACTTTTTTTAATTTTTATAAATGATTTACCAGAGTATAATATCCGACCCTCTCATGTATGCAGATTGCAGATGATTTAAAACTCTTTACTGAAATCAGTAATATTAATGATTTTTCAAAATTACAAATTGATATAAACATAATTTATGACTGGTCCGTAGAAAACAAATTGCCCTTCAATTTAGATAAATGTAAAGTCATGACGTTTAGTAAAGCATGTACGCCTGAACATTATGTTTATAAAATGAATAACAATATTTTGTCTAGAATTTATGACTTTAAAGATCTAGGAATTAACTTTCAACCTAATTTGAGTTTTAAGAACCATGTGAATGAATTAACTAATGCTTCATATAAACTTTTGGGTTTCATTAAGAGTAACAGTTGATTTTAAAAATATTAATTCTATTTTATATTTATTTAATACTCTTATTCGTAGTCGTTTAGTATATGGATCTATTATTTGGGATCCTTCAAAACAGTATCTTAGGAACGCTCTTGAAAAAATCCAAAACAAATTTGTAATAGTTATTTACGTAACAAGTCCGGAAAATACTGTTTTTTTGGACGAGTTGACAAAATTCTAGGACGAGCCGTAGGCGAGTCCTGGAAGTCTGCGAGTTCAAAAAAACTGTTTTCGGACGTGTTGCGTACACTATTTTTTTGCCAACCATGTAGAATAACAAATTAATGAGACACATTTCTTTATTATATTTTTTTGTAGAACAAAATTTCGAACCTTTTAATTCTTATTTGTATTAAATATTGAAATTCGAACAGAAGATAGGTACTAACAGAAACATTCTAATTCTTATTTATATTAAGATTTATAGTAAAATTTGAGCAATTGCTAATATTGAAAGAGTTTAATTTGTTTGAAATGCTTTATATTTAAATGCCTTTTGTAGTCAGAACAAGAAGGTAAAGTTTCCGTTTCATATTGATTGTTTTCATCTGATAATTTTTGAATGGTCTTTGCAATTTTAATTTTGTTTGTTAGTGAATTGTCTATATATCCTTCAGCGACATTGGTAGACTTCCAGCCACCGTGTCTCTTCAAATTTGTGATGTTTCCACCATTATCAGCAAATGACAACAACGATGTGATTCTTCCCAGCCTAGTCCGGGAAGTGCGTACTTCCCGGACTAGGCCGAAAAAATGCTACTTTCTCAAAGAAAAAGTGTCCAGGAAGTAGCCACTTCCCGGACGGTTGCCGAAAAAGTATCTTTTTTACAAAAAATATCATAGTCCTGGGTTTGCTTCCTATGAGCCATTGCGTAAACAGTTTAAGATTTGTAATTTAAAAAATAGGAGAATTACACGAAAATTGACATTTTTACATAAAGTGCTGAATGAAGGTTAGACATAGAATATCTATAGACATTTTTGATACTACATTAATAGAGTTATCCGTAATATAGATTTTACTTGATATTGATTGTCTCGTTCTATTTGCCCGGCTGCTCCCTTGCTGTAATTTATTTTGAATTTTATTTTGTACTTTAATTTGTATTTTAATTAGGTAAGTTAGATATGTGCATGTATATACTTTTTTTTTTTTCTAGAAACATGTAATTAGGTTGTTTCTAACCTGTTTATTTCTTATTCAAAATAAAATTAAAAACCCCGGGAACAGCGAGCTTAGTTGCTTATTTTTCTTGAAATAATTAAATTCTACACCACAAGCATGTTAACCCGCTTACCCCCTAACCCACCTAATCCCTAGAAACCGCCCCTGCCAAACCACAATCAGGCTAACCCACGTAACTCTGGAAACAAGTTCATTCTCTTCCGAGAGGATGAAACTTGCTACTCCCTGGGTCACCTGGGTTAGCCTGCTTGTGGTTTGGTAGGGTTGGTTTTTAAGGGCTACTGGGATTAGGGGGTAGGCGCATAGCATGCTTGTGGTGTAGAATTTAATTATTTAAAAAAAAATAAACGACTAAACTTTCTATTCCCAGTGTTACGTAGGTTAGCCTGCTTGTGATTTGGTAGGGGTGATTTCTAGGGGTTAGGTGGGTTTGTCTCGGAACCTGTGGAGTTATGGGCTTTGCGTCCTTGAAGACATTTGTTCAGGATGGCGAGATACGTAACATATAAAAAATTCAGCCAATTTATCCGGGAACTATTTCCCATAAGGTTTGTGCAAGGCCCTTTGAATTTAAGTACTGTAATAAACATAAAAGAAACTAAATTATTATATTATACTGATTATTAAGCACACAAATAGATGTACAATCCCAACATTTTGTGATTTAATATTAAACCGTTTTGAAGTTATGCAATAAAAACTGTTTCCTGAATTAGGTACCACTTCAATTTCCACAACACGACCAATACTAACACCCCTCTGCATTCACAACAGTGGTAGAAATATTAAACATTTTATTTTTCATATTGATTTCTCACGTTTATTTTGTTTTCTGAATTCTAATATGGAAACATAGTTAACTTCAATTTCGATTTTAAATTTTCTAAAATGTGTAAAAGTAAAAAATTAATCTATAAGAAGCCATTTTTCTCAAAAACTAAGCATTTCGTTTAAAAATAGTAAGAGACCTTTTTGTTGTAGAATAAACCACAATGTAAAAAAATATATTAATTGAAAAATATCCAGTGGCGTAGAAATTGTATTTAAAATAATGGTTATCAGGGCTCCTTACGGGCATTGATCTATTTTCACAATAATTTGCAAAATCGATAGAGCTTTTAATTCGTACACTTTATACAAAATACAGGATGTAACTTTGAGTGGAGGTCATATCTATACAAGGCTTCCTTTGACCTTTAGAAACACATATCAATAGTTTATTTTTTCTATTCCCGTCGTAAAAACTTAATTTTGATTTTTAACCTTTTTTTAGTACCCCGCTGCTGGAGAAGCTAGTGTAACCTTAAATAAGGGCGCGCTTTAGTCATAGCGCATCGCAATTTCACACCATTCGCCACAAGTTACATTTGTTGAGTGGGTGTTTGCCACACAAACAGTACTTGACAAGGAACACAGCAAAAAAACTCGAGCAGTAATCAATAATCAATCAATCAATCAACTTTTATTCATCCAGTTGATCCTACAATGATATAGGATATGTCAAAAAAATTTTACAAACATTTTTAAAAAGAAAATACAATAAAACTGATAATGATAAAAATTAAATACACAAATTTAAATAGCTTGTTGATGGCTTCCAGCAATCAAAATCCTTCAAATTCATAGTTTACGGGCACTATCTCCCTCTACATGCATTGTAGGTTGCCTACGATTAATGTACTTGTAATACATGATTACAGTGACTATTTATTTGATTAAAAAAATAGTATATTACACCACAAGGGGCGAAAGTTGAATTTTCGGCCCTGCACGTCATGATGACGAGCAGTACCGAGATTTCAACTTTTGGCCCGTGTAGTGTATACGATTTTTCTTCATAGCCGGTCGAAAGTACGTTATTAATTTTACTTTTTTTAACTTTAGAGGTAGCAACAGTAATGACAGCAGTTAACAATGTGTTCAAAATGACATTATTTTGACGAGTACTATAGATGGTTAAAGTCTTAATCATCAAAAGTGAATCACCCTGTATATTCAATGTTGAAATATCTCAAAAATATACTTAAATAAGAAATTTAAACTGTATGTAATAGAGATGTCAATATCAGATCCCAGAATCTCAGGGTCCTATTAAAAACCCTATCCCAGAATTAAAAGTGCTAATCCCTGCAATAACTCAAGAATAATTAAACACAATTTTATTTTTTTAATGGCATCATTTTTATTTCTTAAAAGATATAGTTTCTGTTATGTCTGTTTGTTTTGTTTCATCTTGTCTTTTTGCCTTTAAATTTAATAAATTATAATAATTTTGATTTTTGTTTCAATCAGAATTATACAAAAAGTCACGAGGTAAAAATAAACAATCAATCTGTGGTTAACAGCTTGAGCTACCTTTTTCTTGACAACTTGTAAAATTAGGTACATATTCTAGGACGTAAACTTAAAAATGGAGACACATCACAACAATCCGCAACTTCATATGGTACCCTTCCACCACCTCCTGGTTTTAGTAATCAAGATTATGGTCAAGATTATTTATATTTTAATCAGCTTGGTGCGAGGGATATTAGAAAACAAACTCAGGTAGTTTAACATATTTTGTATGTATAATTAATTATGAAAACTAAGTCAACTGGACAAAAAAAAATGCTACTCCAACCTCCAACTAAACATAAAAAAATAAATAATGAAAAATAAAATAAAGCGTTTGACGCTTGAATTTAACAATCCAGTTGTTCTCGGACATGTAACTGAATGTCCAATAAGTGTAAAAATTACAATTTAATCTTACAATCAGTATACAAAACAGAACTTAGGTATGTTGATCAAATATTTTTGATCAAATGGTCTGGTAAAATTCTAGTTTTACTGGTTTTGCTTAACTGTATCATTTGTAAGTAGCTAGTTTTCTAAGTTTTTGATTTATTATTTTGTTGAAAATAAAATAGTAGTTAGTATGTAATTTGTTTAAATTTCATTTATTTATTTCAGCAAATGGAAAAATCCCCTTAGGAAGCATTCTCAGGCATATTTTTCTTATATTTGTGACGTTTGACATACTAAGGCCCAGTACTTTGAGTTTTGGATAATTAATCATATGATTACATATACTGATTTATTTTATAAAATATATTCACAGTCTAATCACCAGATTAGTTAATCAAATCTTAACCAAGATTCAAAGTCTATGTGGTCTTAGAATTTGCATATTAGATATAATCAAATTAAAATCAAAAAATCAAATTTGTTAACTAAATAAACATTTCTATAAATTGATATGATGAATACAAAGGCCGAGTTTGAATATTTGGAAGTAGAGGTCTATGTTAAAATTGGACCTCCTTCTAAATGTTTATGATAAATTTACTAGAGCAGCGAATTCTGAATTCTAAAAAATATATTAGAAGCTGATTTAAATATGCAGTAAGAAACTGAAACTTTTGAATTATTTTAGGATTTAAACAGTCAGCAAGCAACGGAGAATGTATTTCGACCGATAAGGGGGATGGGTATATCAAATGTATCACCAATGGATATTAGTTACGAACAGAGCTGGGGAGGTAGACGCAGTGGTGACAGGCGTCCTCGTACACCCCAAGAACAAATAAATGCAGCTATGGGTGCAGTTCCATCTCGGGTACACAAAGTTAGTGGTAGTTCAGAGTACAGCGACGATGGAAAGGTAAGGGGCAGTTACTCATTGTTTTGCAGCCCAAGATACTTTAAAGTATAAAAAAGTTATATCGTTTTTAATGCATTCAGTCTACTGCAGCTAGCACTCTATGAACAATAACCAGATTTCAATTCGTTGACACAAAGAACCCCAAACCCCAAAATTTTCTGTAGATATTTGCATTTATTAAGAAATTAATGGAAAAAGACTAAAATAATATTTTACATTTAAATCTCTTTAACTATCAACTTTTGAACTAAGGTAAGTTTGGCTAAATCACAATATTTTTGCTTTGGGAATCTACCTATGAATTTTGACCCATTACCTTGGGACCACCCTGTGGTGGTATACATTCTAAGCCAATCTGGAGAACTTGTAATTATCAGGAAATTTTGTAGATCAATAAGTATCAAGAAATTTTTTTAAGGTTTATAGAATTTTTCAAAGTTCCAATTGGTCCTCTTTTACGATGTGCTGCTACTAGATGTTATGTCGCTAAAAAGTAAATTTGTTATTACAGCATCTACCAGTACTGTCATGTCATATATTTGTTGGTTGACTGTCGTTAAATTAGTTTAAAACTGTATGAACCCTACGATCACAAATATATTTATTTATTTTGAAAAAAAATTCAATTATAGATTTAATTTCATTTTATTTTGAATTTTTTTTTATTGTATTTTTTTATTAGAGATTATTATATATGAAGTTATTGCTTTTACCACAAGTTCTTTGACCAGAGTAATAATATTTCCTAGTTTTTATACACAATAAAACAAAAATTAATAAAAAAAAAGTTTTAAAAAAATATTTTATTATTCTCATATTTTGTTCTCTATTGTAAAGCTAATTTGAATAAATTCAAATTTTTATTTTACTAATTTTATCAATGAAGTCATACAGTGTTTTTGGATACAAGCAGTATAGGTATGCAAAAGATATCTAACCCATAAACAAGATTCCTAACTGCTGATATTGTGTGGAAACAACTACTCTATGGACTACATTTCAATATATAAAGTATTTGTTTTTGTATCAATATTGCTGGTGTAATTTAATGCTAGTTGGGGCATGTAACCCATAGAGTAATTTTTCTCTACAATATCAGCAGTTAGGAGTTTTATTTATGGGGTTAGATATTTTTTGTATTAACTTAAGTTTCTAGTGGCGGAAAACGTTGGTTGACTTCATTTCATAGGCGCCGACTTTTAAAACTTTTGTCGAGTGCTCAATTGCCTTATAAGCATTTTTTTGCCAGATAACATTAAAAAGCAAGAGAAATGAGTCGTCATTTGAAATAGCATGAGGTAAAAGATTTAAAATACGTATTTCTCCAAATTAGATTTTATGAAAAACTTTTAAAAAAATATATTGAAATTAATTAAACATGTCAAAATAAATAAACTTTATTACTGTTTCGATACAAATTTCAAAAATTTAACAATCTTAATAATTTTAAGAAAAAATAAACTTCTATGGAATAACAAGTGGAAATATAAATACACTCACCGGCATGAAAAACAGAACACTTGCATTTGTTTCAAGAAAAGCTTAAATTTCAAAGAATTCAAATGTTTTATTTTTCTAATAATGCAAACATATGCAAAACAAAACTTTTTAAACAATTTTCATGAATGCTTTAAAGATTTTTTTATAATTTTGCACAAAATTTATGTAAGCTGAATGATGCAGTAATCTTATTCCTTAAAAGTTCGTAGTGGGCTCTGGATATGCCTGTTTTTAAATTGTTTTGTAAACATCATAAAGTTAAAAAAGGGTGAAAGCAGTGTTGTGAGTTGTGTTGTGTTAGTTTAATCACATGAATAATGGCTGTAAATTCTGAAATAGCAGCTGCTATTGTTGCATTGATTCAAGATGGAAGAAGTCAACGATATGTTGCCCACAATATTAAATATCGAATAGCACAGTCCATCGCATTTATGGACGTTTTGTGGAAACTGGATCTTACAGCAGGTGACCTGGAACTGGTCCTTAATGAAGAACCAATGCCCACGATCATCGTTTTATTGTCATGCAAAGCCTTCGGAATCGGTGTGCTACAGCTGTAGAAATCAGAAATCAGTTCAGTACATTCGAAATATCAACGTAAGTGAAAGGACAGTTAGACGCAGACTTGGAGAAGCGAATCTGACTAGTCGTAGACCTGCAACAGGAGCGGAACTTCTTAGACGTCATCGCACTGCACGATTCAGTTTGCTAGAAATCACCAGCTTTTGGCATGAAAACGAATGGGGTTGCGTCTTGTTCACGGACGAGTCAAGATTTAGTTTGCAGTCTCCAGATGGTCGTGAGAGAGTAGGGCGAAAACCACAAGAACGTTTTGCCGAATGTACCTTCAGTCCTAGAGTCGGATATCAAGGGGGTTCAGTTATGGTCTAGGCTGGAATTTCTCTAGAAGCGCATACAGAACTTTACAGGGTGTCCCTGAAAAGGATGGACAACGCTTGACCACAGGTTCCTTGGATTAAAATAAGACTATTTAGCCTAACTTACCTATATACAAAAGTGCATGCCTACTGAGATATAGCCTTCTAAATATAGAATAGATAACCTAGTTTTTTTCAAATAATTTGAAAACTTAGAAACTTCAAATTTGATACACTTATTTTTTTATGTAAAGGCAAGGTAAATATAGAATTTGGTAGGAATACATATACAGGATGTTTTCTTTCTAGTGCCTGTGCGCTACTGGCTATCCCGTAACTTTTTTGTGTGCGCGCGCCAATGACGACATAATTTGTATTTTTAAAAATAAGCATTAATATAGAAGATTTTTTGCTCTTAACAAAATTTTTATATCATTTTATGAATTTCGAGTAAAACTGGCATTTTTTATACATTAAATATAAAAATTCCGATTTGTCAAAAATAGTTTATAACTGCAGCCTCAAAACAGGGAATAATAATGAAAAAACGTCACATAAAAAAAAAACACATTTTTAGTATTATTATTGTCAATTAATAAAATAAAAATCAACACTAATATTTTAAATAAACAGTATCAACTAATAATGTAAGAAAGTCAATATTAACATTTTAAATAAACCTAAATTGATATTTGTAATCACATTAAAATAATATTACAGTAAATGCTCAAAGTTACTTCCTTCTTAAACGCAAGTATTAGTTCTTGGAAAATGAAAATTAATTTTATCCAATAATTATTGTGCATTACCTCTCATAACACTAATTTCATGTTGTATTCTTTCCCATTATTCGTTTTTTGTATTTACTGAAAAGTTATAAATTGTGGTCCGCAACGTCACCAAAGGAAATAATTACATGGGTTTAGGTTCGGGGATCGAGGTGGCCATTTTAAAGGGGCATTATTTCTTATACCTACCTATCCACCTGTTAGTATAGTAACCTGTAGTAACTGGTCTTTTAATACTTTATTAACGGAACTTTTTGAAAGCCAACCTCTGCCGCTAAACGCCTTTTATTTACTTGAGGAATTTTTTCGACCCTTTCCAAAATTTGTTCCTCCAGCTAAATAGTTCCGGTCGTACATTATCCACGATTTAATATTACAATTAGAAGATGTAATTTGGAATTCTTCGATTAGGAAAACTCATATGTTCGAACACTAGCACAACAATTTCCTTCACAATAGCCCAAAACTAATAACATATCAGTTTGTTCAGCAAAAGTATAAATTGCAATAAAAAACAAAGTAAACTAAAATTAAATCACAGCTAGCTTGACACTGAACCTTTTAATTATTGTTATGAATTTGTTTCTTTGTTATATGGCACCTCGTACCAGACTATTCTATTTATCTTCAACTAATTTAATATTAGTTAATGTGTAAAAATGCCAATTTTTCTCGAAATCCATAAACGATATCAAAATTTTGTAAGAGGCAAAAAATCTTCTAAAATAGTGCTTATTTTTAAAAATATAAATTCTGTCGTCATTGACTTACACACAAAAAAGTTACGGGATAGCCAGTGGCGCACAGGCACTGGAAAGAGAACATCCTGTATATGTATTATCACCAAATTCTATATTTACATTGCCCTTATATAAAAAAAATATGTATACCAAATTTGAAGTTTCTAAGAAAAACAGTTTTCAAATTATTTGAAAAAAACTAGGTTATCTGTTCTATATTTAGAAGGCTATGTCTCAGTAGGCGTGCATTTTTGTATATAGGTAAGTTAGGCTAAATAGTCTTATTTTCATCCAAGGAACCTGTGGTCAAGCGTTGTCCATCCTTTTCAGGGACACCCTGTATATCGTTCCAAGGGGCTCCCTCACAGCTGCTGGGTACATTGGTGAAATTCTCCAAGATTTTGTCATTCCTTATGCCGGTTTCATGGGAGATGACTTTCTGCTAATGCATGATAATGCTAGAGACCCCATACTGCAAGAATGGCACGACAATATCTGAACGAGGTAAACGTTGCTGTTATGGAGTGGCCAGTATTAAGTCCAGATGCCAACCCAATTGAGCATGTTTGGGACATGCTTGGGCGACGAAATCGCATTCGATTTCCTGCGTCACTAACCTTAAATCAGCTTCAAGATGCTCTTGTGGAAGAATGGGAACTTATTGCCCAAGAGGACATCAGGAACCTGATTTTAGGCATGCCAAGACGAATTAATGCAATAATTAGAAGTCGTGGGGGTAACACTCATTATTGAAAAACTTTTATTGAACGGAAATTGTTTGAGTTTTGGTTATTTTTGCTTTAGTTTGCCACAATACTTTCTTGCGTTTTTTTTATTTTGTTCACATTTTGTTGTAAAACTTACGTGTGAATCATGAATAAATATTTTCTTATTAAAAATCATAGAAAATATTTTGTTTTGATGGTGTTTACACTAATACAGTACAAAAACATTACAATCAATTAAAAAAATAAGATTATTTTAAAAAATGTGACTGTTCCGTTTTTCGTGCCGGTGAGTGTATACGTACTAGACGTAAAAGTAGGTAGCACAGAAATATACTATTCTAACAAAACTGATTATAATTCTTGCGGGTGCTCAAATACTTTTGTCGGGTGTTTGAGCCCCGGAGCACCCGAGAACTCGGCGCCTATGCTTCATTTGATAAGATTTTTTAGAAAAAAAATTGAATTTGTTTGAATTAGTTTAATACCTTTAAAATAAAACATTTTTTGATGCTTTGTATTCATTGGTTGTCACACAAAAAACGATTGACATCATATGTCTCTTAAAAACCTGAGAAGAAAACTAGGATTAGGTTTTTCGGTACAATCATAAAACAAATGGAACCACATGGAACATGACTATTATTTATTTCTTATAATTGTAGATGTGCTACTCTAGTGAAACTGATGGAAAGAGTACTCAAACTAATCAACCTGTAGATTTAATAATATCTAATCTAGATCCAACTATCGACACTAAAGAACTGAGAAGACTTCTTACTAATATGCTTAAGGAATATGCAATGGTAAGTGGGCCTAACCCTACATTTTATCTATTTTATCCATATATCCATATATTATATATTTTCTAGATTTTAAGTCTTAATGTAATTACACAAGCAGACGGTACGCCAATAGCAAATATCAGAGTAAACAGCCAGCAAGAAGCACAGTTTGCTATATCTCAACTACACCGGCAGAAATTAGGACACAAACGAATTGTCATATCATATTCTCAGAATAATTCTCCAGATCCAGAGCAGCTTCGAGCCATCGTGATTGCACTTTTACAAGTATGTATAAAATACTTGAAAAACAGTAAAAATATGACTGGTTACATTTAAAAAACTTATTTGGTTTTATATTCGGGGTGCATCTCTTACTTCCCCTCTTTCTCTAATTTTCTCTTTTTAATTACATCGGAAAATGAAAGCAATCCGGTGATTGTACAGGGCATTGCATGACACCTCATCTCCCAATCCACTGAATCGCAAACCTTAGATCAAGATACTACCGAACATGCAGGGCATAGTGCCGGGGAGCACCATCCTGTTGGAATATCAACTGGTGTTTGAGATAATTCACATTATTCTCGAAAATGTTTTTAACACTGGATTAATGTTCTCCAACAAATACAGCCAAATTTCAATAAATCTCTTAAATATTGAAGAGAATTTTTATGAACAATTTTAGATCTTGTTTATCAAAATTGGCCATTCAAAAAATTACATGAATTCTTTAAAAAACTTAGTCACATTTTAGATGTTTGTTGCGAACAGTTTGTGATCTATTAGCTATGTCCACACTGCTTTTGTTATTTAATTATTTCTGGCACACTATACGGGCAAATTTTTAAATAAATACCTCTATATAACTTCTTGTCAACACCTTGTAACTTTTGCAGTTGTGTGTGCCTTAACACAATGATTGTTTTTATTAGATTAAATCATACAGGACGTTCGTTTCACTACAATATTCTTGTGTAACTTTTTTGTACGTTTAAATTTTTACACGCAACTTTCAGAAATAGATAGATAATTTTATTCTACACACAAAATGTATACCTATCAAAAGTCGAAATTATGCTCGGTTATGAAGATATTACAGAAAATATTTATTAACACATACCCCCATAATAAACATAATAAATATAATAAATACTACTACTACTAATTTATAATAAATGTTCTACGTTTCTCCCCATTCTCTTCGACACATTTCCTTAAACGTTTTATGAAACTAGTGAGAATAGAAAACGAATTATACATTCGTCTAACTTGTCGTACAGCATCTTTTATTCTATCCCAAAGTTCTTCTCCTGTATTAGGTGTTACAAAGTTGTAATCAATTCCTTTGAAATTACTTCAAAAGTAAAAGTCTAACGGATTAAAATCCGGACAGCAAGAAGGCCAAGGAAAGTCACTACCTTGACCAACCCAACAGTTGGAAATGCTTAATTTAAATGATCCCTCACCAAATGGCTGTAATGAGCAGGGACACCATCGTGCATGAACCACATATTTGTCATCTAGTATTAATAAGTACTTCTTTGAGAGCCCCAGGAAGTTCTTTTTGAAGAAATTCTAAATAATTTTGGCCGTTCAGGTAAAGCGATGGGCCCCAAAGTAAAAGTTTCCTATAATCCCGCACCAGACGTTAACTGAAAATTGGTGTTGGATTTTATCGCATGTGGATTGTCTTTGCTCTACGTGAGAGTTTTTCCAATTAAAAACACCTTTACGGGTAAAAACAGCTTCATCTATAAATGCAATTTTCCCTCATATGTAACTGGAGAAATCGTTCGCAAAATGTTAATCACAGCAGGCGGTCTGGTTCAAGCAAATTTTGTGCAGGGTGAAAATGGAAACATTGTAACTGCTGCTTGTGGAGTATAGTTGAAATGGTTTTGCGGCCAACTCCTGTGACTGCTGACAAGCAACGAATGCTAATTTTGGGATTTTCTTCTACTCTTTCTAGAATTTGTTCTTTGACTTGTACCCTTTTTAGAACGTACCTTCCGTTTCGTGAATTATACCGAAAGTTTTCAGTTTCTCCTAATCTGGCGAATAAAGAAGTAAACAATGTATGAGAAGGCCGTCTGCGATTCGGATAAAGTTCTTCATATATTCTTTATATGTTCTCTTAGCGTGTCCACTAAAATGTTCCTGTACATTTTTGAAGAAAAAAATGGTACGCCACTGCTTTTTCTAAGAACTAAAATTATTTTTAAAATCTCCATTTATTTTACTTACTCTCGTACGACGCACCATTTGCACGTAAAAAAATGAAAACCAAAAAAAGTTTTTTCCCCAAGTTCATTGAGACTGCTTTTGATATTTTGTTGTCATTTTGTAGACACCCACCATGCGTGGAAACACTTTTTGTGGGGCAAAAATTAATTTTCTACTTTCACAAATGACGTTCACGTAGGCATAATATTAAATGTTTGGATAGAAAAAACGGTAAGCTCATTAAATGCCCCCTTAAAGCAAATGAAATAAAAATTAGTAGGCTGGGTAAAGTGTCATAATTTTTGACGCTTCTTTTCGCAATAAAGTTGACATTGATTTTTCATTATTAAAAAATTATTAGAGTAGGAGGTAAAATCTCATAAAAAATGGTAAATTTTACAATCGGTGAATTAGCTGACATGCATTTTACTTATGGGGTTGCCGACGGAAATGCATACGAAGCCAGGAGGATATACCAAGAGCGGTATCCAAATCGCGTACTACCCGATCCGAGAACATTTTCTGGGATTCATAGACGTCTTCACGAAACCGGAAATTTAAAAGTAGACCACAGTGCTAAAGGAGTCCCTGAAACAGTAAGAACACCGGAACTTGAAGAAGGAATTTTACATGAAATTGAGGAGAACCCCGAAACTAGCACGAGGAAAATCGCGGCAACATTTAATGTTTCACACGTACTTGTTTGGAAAATTCTTATCGAAAATTTGTTATATCCATATCACATTGAAAGAGTCCAGGCATTACTCCCTAGAGATTTCCCGTTGCGCATTAATTTCTGTGAGTGGTTTCTTCAAAAGCTGCTGGAAAATCCGTTATTTGACAGGTACATTCTTTTTACCGATGAAGCTAGTTTTTCTCGAAACTCAATACGAAATTTCCATAATAACCATTTGTGGGCGGATGAAAACCCTTTTGCAATTGTTGAATCAAATCATCAAGAACAGTTTTCAATAAATGTTTGGGCTGGTATTATTGACGATTATTTGATAGGCCCATTTTTTCTCCCAAGAAGATTAGATGGACAATCGTATTTACACTTTCTTGAAGAAGATCTGCCGCCAATGCTTGAAGACCTTCCTCTTTTATTAAGAAACCAGATGTGGCTAATGCACGATGGTGCGCCTCCACATTTTAGCTTACGGGTGCGTGAATTTTTAAATCACAACTATCGCGATCGGTGGATAGGCCGCGGAGGAACGCAGTCATGGCCGCCCAGATCTCCCGACCTTAATAGTTTAGACTACTTTTTCTGGGGTCATCTGAAAAGCTTAGTGTACGCAGTGCCGATTCAAACCGAAGAAGAGTTACGAAATCGTATAATAGTATGCTGCCAAACCATAAGAGACACCCCAGGAATTTTTGAAAATGTACGTCAGTCTATGCGAAGAAGAGTAGATGCTTGCATACGTGTGGGTGGAGGACACTTTCAACAACTACTGTAAATACATAATAAATACATTATGACACTTTACCCAGCCTACTAATTTTTATTTCATTTGCTTTAAGGGGGCATTTAATGAGCTTACCGTTTTTTCTATCCAAACATTTAATATTATGCCTACGTGAACGTCATTTGTGAAAGTAGAAAATTAATTTTTGCCCCACAAAAAGTGTTTCCACGCATGGTGGGTGTCTACAAAATGGCAACAAAATATCAAAAGCAGTCTCAATGAACTTGGGGAAAAAACTTTTTTTGGTTTTCATTTTTTTACGTGCAAATGGTGCGTCGTACGAGAGTAAGTCTAGGGACCGAATTTGCTGTAAAATAAATGGAGATTTTAAAAATAATTTTAGTTTTTAGAAAAAGCAGTGGCGTACCATTTTTTTCTTCAAAAATGTTTAGTTCAAACCTCGTACGGACGTCATTGGCAAAGATTTTAAAACATTTTTTACATCAAACAATGCTCCTTAATGATTAATAGGTGTGTACAAAATTTCATAAAAATATCTGGAGTGATAAGAAAATTATAATAAAAAAGTAAATTTTTTCTTAAAACTGTAACACCCTGTAGCTCAAAAATTAAGAGGTTTAGGACATATGTTGATATTAAGTTTTCTTCTTAAAATGACCCAAGGATTCACACCCTTAAGTATCGGCATTCAATTAATAAACACCCTGTAGGTATTTATTTACAGTTTATATTAGTATAATTTTTTTTGACAGTTTTTCGCAACATTAAAATTAACAAACACCAATGCAGCTATAACAAAAAGTCATCTATACAGGATCTATATTGGTTATTTTTCGTTGTTAAAAATTATTATTTTTTGTTTTCTTGTAAAAATGTATGTTGATCATTTTATTTTTAGGATGTTCCTGACAAATGCATGCCACTTTTTAAGTTCATCGAACTTCTTGAATCACGCTATCATTGCACTGTATCTGTATCTGAAGTAAATAAACTGAAGGATATTTGTAAAATAACCGATGATCTAGGTTCAAGAATTATATCCCTAACTCAAGAAGTAAAGGCATCTCCACCACCTAATTTGAGCAGCGTAAGTTCTTAATTATGAGTTGAAAAATTGGTACATATAGACATATGTTTTAATACAATTATATTCGATATATCGCATAAGATGCTTCCAGTTTGTCTAAAAATTCATCAAAATTAATTTGTTCTGTTTTTTTGAAAAAATGTTTTACTTCCAACCTTCAATCACATTTTTGAAAGACGAAATTTAACTTGTTCATACCCTTGTAAAAATTATTTTTTTATTATCTTGTCATAAATTTTTGTTTAAACACTCCTATGTTTTAGTTAAAATTTACTTCAAGATCAAAATTATATTATTTTTTTTGTTATATGTATTTAAAAGTTATGATTGGTGAAAGTTAAAGTGGTCGTATTATGACAATGAATCATGAGACCTACAGTCCGTACAATATTTGTTGAGATAGAATTTAAATAAAACATTTTTCTTTGCTACGTTGTTTTTAACTTGAGCCCATATCATTTCAATCGGATGAATGGTGAACGCCACGCCGTTGATATCTTTCTACCTCGATTAATTCCAAGAAAGTGACGTAGGGGTATTCTTGGAATTCTATCTCAACAAATATCGTACAGACTGTACATATTTTGGAAGGTGATTTCTAGACCCACGTAGAAAACTTTCAGAATAAAAAAATTTTAAACAAATTTGCAAAATTAGCAATTAAAATAGGAATTACTGACATTGAAAATGAGTATGTGCAAAATATATTTATTTGTTTTTATAATCAACTGATAGATACAATCAGTTGTTTTTTTTTCACAAAATAAATTCTCTTCACTCACAAACATTCGATTTCCCAAAGTCTTCAATGCTGCAACATTAAGAGAAATTAAAATTTTGTGAAAAATAGGAAGATACTTTGCATCTGTCAGTTGATTATGAGATCTCGGGGTCAGAACTATTATATAAAATTTTTATTTTCCAAATTTCGTTGAAAATTTTTTCATCACAAGTTCTCTATGTGGGCCTAGAAATCATTCAATGAAAAAGAGGTAAGGCTTCCACGTTTTATTATAAAAATAAGACTATTTAAAGCAGGGGTCGGCAAGTAATTTTTTTATTTTAATTTGCACTCACAAAATAATATGAAATATAATAGATAGGCATATTTGTATTCAAAAATCAATAGGAGAAATTACATTTGCGGTCTTGAGTCAGCTCTTTTACTAACCTACTAACCATTAAAAAATGATAAGGGTGGCACTCAAACGTATATCTATAGAAAAATGTTTTTTTAAATAATTTGAGTAATTGTACATTAAAAAAAATTTTTGGCGGTCCAGTTTTTTACCTTCCGTGGTCCGGATCTGGACCTCGGTCCACCAGTTGCCGACCGCTGATTTAAAGTTTCACCAGCTGCCACCGAAGTTTAATAAAATTTTCTGTTTCTAACAAGTAACACTACCCAATAATCACTCACCGATCGGAACGAAACTTGGAAACTTGGCACATCGATAGAACTTTTAAAAATATTGAACCCGTATTTTTTATTTTCTCGGAATTAGCTTTCAAGGGTTAGAAACCACTCCTAGAAGACGGTAAGAGCGAAAATCTCCATAAATCTCCATAAATGAAATTAAAAAAAAATACATATTTACCAACCAAACTCACTCACCCTATCCACCCAAAAAACTAACTCTCCCACTCCAAGCCTACCCCTCTCCTAAACCAATTAAACCTTTCTACCCTAACTCCACCCCACCCACTTGAATCAACCAAATCCTTTTATTACCCCACATAAACCAACCCAACCTAACCCCACTCACCTAAATTAGCCAAACTGTCCACCCATTCGTTATTGTAGTTGTAGCATTATTTTCCAATTACTGCAGCAAATTCACCGCATTATTGTAATGAATATGTAAAATAGGGGAAGGGATATCAGTTGATATAATGATATCGTGTTTTTTTCCTGGTCAATAAGAGACAAGGGGACTCACGCTAATCAAGCATCCTGAACGTGAGCGGCAAGAGGACTCACTCTAATCAAGCACCCCAAACGTGAAGAGCAAGGGGACTCACGATGATGAAGCACACCATACATGAGGGTGGGGGGTTGGGTTTGGTGGAAGGTTGGTGTTGGTGAGGGCAAGAGAGTCTGGTTGATTTAGGTGGGTGGGGTGGAGTTAGATGGGCGTTTGATGTTTGGGTAAAGGGGTTGATTAGTTTAGGAGAGGGGTAGGCTTGGAGTGGGAGGATTAGTTGGTTTGGGTGGATAGGGTGAGTGAGTTTGGTTGGTAAATATGTATTTTTTAATTTCATTTATGGAAGTTTTCGCTCTTACTGTCTTCTAAGGGTGGTTTCTACCCCCTTGAAAGCGAACTGCGGGAAAAAAAAATTACGAGTTCAATATTTTTTAGAGTTCTATTGATGTGCTAAGTTTCATTCCAATCGGTGAGCAACAGTTGAGTAGTGTTACATATAAGTGTGTGAAACATGTATTGGTATCAATCAATTAATCCATATATTAGAAAAAAAACAGTTTTTCATATTTAGCAACCTGTAAACAGCTAGAAAATGAAAGATTTCATTCTTAATTTTTTTTTTATGTAATATAAAGTGGTTTGGATACTTTTCAGATAAAAAAATAAAGTATAATTGTAACTTGGAAATCAATTTAAACTTAAACAGCATAGAAGTGTTTAAAACGTAATTTTGAACCAAAATATGCCAACAATATTTTGTTTAGTTTGTTAATATGTGAAATGAGCTGTAGCTATAATTTAAGTCACCAGTGGGTATATTTTAGTAGTATGTAGGATTTTAGTGCATACATACTATGTGAACGTTTAGAATGGAAATAAAATATGCAATAACGCTCGGACATGTGAATTTTTAAATTCATTTGTGCTTCTTTTTGACATCATTATTTCGATTATGACGTCATTAGGTAATTTTTGTGATGTCATCATGACATTTTTTTGAACGGGACATTCAGTTATTTCATTAAATCTAAGTAGAAAAAACATTGCTGAAAATGGTGATATGCAACACTATGACCTTAAAGTTGATAATCTTCTAGATAAAAGGCTTCAAAGTTTGGAAAAATGGAAAAAGTAGCAAAAAAACTAGTCAAAAAATATTTTTTTATTACGACAATGATATAATAACCACAATGAAAACTAAGGTGCTCGAACAATATATAAACCCATGGTAACCCCTATTTTGTGAATGAAATTCAATTTTAGGTAAGAAGGATGGTAAATGTCTGGTGTGGGATCCTCAACACACGGATATTTTTTATTATTTTTCATGGAAATCTAACGGGCAGAAGATACTTAGAGTTTCTACAAAACGCAATAGATGACTTTCTGCCAGAAATTCCATTAAACCAACTGAAGGCAATAATCTGGCAACAAGACGGACCTCCATGTCGTAATACTGGAGAAGTTACCAACTTTTTAAATAACAAGTTTGGAGTGGATTGTTAAGCGAGGCACCATATTGTGACTTTCCCATAGTCCTTAATCCACTCCACTTAATCCAAAGTATATAAAAAAGCAAAATGTGCAAACCGAGAATCCATATGATAAGTATCAAGAAGCTCAGTGTATAGTAGTGAGATGTCGCCTTGTCGAATTGAAGGTTATGACAGAACATCTATACGGTTCGTTTTACAAAGAGATCCTTTCAATTTTTGTTTCAAATTGTTATATTGCATTAAATCACGAAAAATTTATTTAATATTAATTATTACTACATAATGTTTTCGACTGCAATAATTTTATAGTCTATAATCTAGCTATTCAAATATAGTGTGTCAGTCGAAGCGTTAAATACAGCGTACAGTGTTGCCATATTTCCTTTCATTGGATCAGATGTTTGTTCAAATTTGTCAAAACATTATCTATTCATTCCATTATCTCGGTAATTATATTGTAAGTGCATATTTTTATTATTTTAAAATGTTTAGTAATATATAATTCTTTAATTATAATTTAATTTTCCCAATCCTAACCATTTTAAGGGCAATATTCACGTTTGATGAAAGTTATTTCCCAGTTCCCATAAGAGCCTGTGTATGAGCTTATTTTTAAATATCATTTTCCAAAAAAACTATTTTGGTAATCGATCTGATATTTTTACACGAGGCAGTTTGCATATTTATTAACAGATTATTTAATTAGTTTTCGTTGTGGTTATTATATCATTGTCGTAATAAAAAAAAATTTTTTGACTGCTCCCTTTTTTCATTTTTCCAAACTTTTGTCTCGAAAACTATAAATTTTAAGGTCATAGTGTTGCATATTGCCTTTTCAGGAATGATTTTTCTACTTAGATTTAATGAAACAACTGGATGTCCCATTTAAAAAAATATTATGATGTCACAGAGATTACATAATGACGTCATAATCGAAGCAATATTGTCAAAAGAAGCACAAATAAATCTAAATATTGACGTGTCCGAGTGTTTTTGCGTAAATTATACAGGGCGTATTTTATTTAAGGTTTCAATTCTAAACGTTCACACTGTATATTTATTATTTGATGGAATATTAATAACAAAGTTTTCTATGCTTTTGTAGACTTTTGTACCATATTGTACCATTCACTGCCCTAATGGCCTTCAAAGTAGAGGATGGTGTGAACTTAATACCATTCAAACTCCTAATATTATGATGTCCTTAAAGTTATTTGGCAATAAATTAATAGGTTTACTCAAAATGCATTTAGGATGTATGCCTCTCTTAAGGTAAAGTATGATGTGAACTGTAATATTTCTTTTTCTTGATTAAAAAAGAAACCATAAATACTGATTTCAGTTTTTTTTTATTTAATTAGATGTTTTGCCACACTGGAAAGAAAAAGAAACACAATTATTTAATAATTTTAAATAAACAAGGGGTTGATCTTTTAAAATTATTTCTGCCTAATCAAAAATATCTCACACTGGCGTTCTTGATTTCCCAAAGGCCACTGTAACATGTCTCAAAATAATGTTAGGAAAAGTTTATCCAAACATGTTTACTCTAAAAACTTTAAATCAAAATGCTGACAAGGAGAAGGTAAGGTAGTCGGATTTTTGTAATTTTTGATATTTATGGTACGTGTAGTTTGGACCTTGAATAAGAATTTTTCGAAGTAGTTCAATGCAACGTTCATAAATTACCGAGATAATTGATTTTGAAGTTTTACCTGTCAGCTAAATCCACTAGATGTGACACATTCTTCAACGAGATCGCTGGTTCAAGTCCGTCGCTTGACAATTTTTTTTTTTTTTTCAAAACGCACAGTATGGTTTATTATTATTTTTTTCATCTCGAAAATTATGAACAAACTAAATATTATAATAAATACTTATGTATATGTAGAAATATTCTTCAAATATTTCATTAAAATGCACAATTGATTGATAAACAATATTTATTATGAATTAACAATAAGATTTCATTAAAAAAAAGAACAAACGAGGTCAGGTAGGATGTTCTTTTATTTTATATTTATGTTAGTATTTGACCTTTTACATAGTGTATCACAAGCCAGAATGGTAGCTATCATAAAAAATGGGAATCAGAAATTTTTTAAGCATTAAGCACAATTATGAACAAACGAAATATTATGAGAACTGTATGTAGGAATATTCTTCAATTAACATTTTGAGCTAGGTTGTGTGGGTCGTCCACCGTGTTTAAAAAAACCACTTACAGAACACACCTGCTCAGGCATAAAAAGTTTCGGTAAATTCCACAAAGGGTAGAGAAGCATCGAAACTGTGTGATGAAAGAACAATCTTTCAAAATGTTAACGAAATTTGCTTTGACGTTGATATTTTGAAAACAAAATGTGCCTGTCAAACATAACATTTACACGACATGCTAGATGCTTAAAAAATTTCTGCTTCCCATGTTTCTATGATAACTATCATTCTGGCTTATACCACACTGCTTAAAATTCAAATACTAAAAATAAAATAAAAAACCTATGTGACCTCGTTTGTTTTTTTTAAAGAAACTTTATTGTTAATTCATAATAAATATTGTATATCAACCAATTGTGCATTTTAATGAAATATTTGAAGAATATTCCTACATATACATAAGTATTTATTATAATATTTAGTTTGTTCATAATTTTCGAGATGAAAAAAATAATGATAAACCATATGGTGCGTTTTGAAAAAAAAAAAAAAAAATTTCAAGCGACGGACTCGAACCAGCGATCTCGTTGAAGAATGTGTCACATCTAGTGAATTTAGCTGTCAGGTAAAACTTCAAAATCGATCATCTCGTTAATAGGGTTGTTGACCAAATTTCAAAAAGTAGATAATATAATTCTACACGTACTAACTAATGTGTATACACAATTAGAGATTGAGAAATGCGTCAGAACAGTTTTAAAATAATTATTTAAATCTGATTTTTTTATAACATTTCAAAACGGCTGTGACGTCATAAGGGGCACCTTGTAGTGAAATTATGTGTAAATGATTGCGTAAAGGAAAAAAAAATTGGAAGAAGACGAAGAGCGTTTTAATATTGGCGAAATCAGAGGTATAAAAGCAGTCAGGTAAGGATCAACATATTTAACTCGATATTTAATGAATGATTTTATTGTATTTATTTATATAAAATACCTATTTATTTATCGAAATTTATAGTGCAGTTCGGGAGTCTTATGGAGATAATGCAATTGGCTATGTGGAATGTGGAACAGAACACCACTTAAATTTTGTTGAATCCATTACAATCAGGAAATTAATATTAACTATCACAAATATTCTTAATTGATAGACTGCTGTCACTAGTGTCACTTTTGTAAAAAAAAAAAACAGGAAACAGGGCAGCAGGGTTTGATGGACAATTTTGACATATTTTCTTCTTCAAAATTATGCAATAGGATCGCTACTAGCTTCTTGTTCAATTGCCCCTTATGACGTCAGACTAGTTTTTAAGTAACGCAAAAATTCATAAATGATTTCTACCACTAATTTATCATATATTTAAAATTTTACTATACAGGCAGGTTCTTTTATATAAAATCTTTGACTCAACAAGAATTTGTATATGGTTTGTTTTTATAGTGGACAACCCTATTTATGAACGTTGCGTCGAACTATTTCGGAAAATTCTTATTCAAGGTCCAAACTACACGTACCATAAATATCAAAAATTACAAAAATCCGACTACCTTACCTTCTCCTTGTGAGTGTCAAATGTTTTGAAATGTAGATAAACAACAGAAAAACTGTTGTATTTGACTTTGCTACTCTCATAAGAAGTTTTGAGAACAAAAACTGAAAGTTTTTGAAATGTTGACTATTTGTGTGTTACAATGGCTTTAATAAAATGACGAACATCTACTCGATAATAAAATATTTTTCCTTTCAGTGTACTAAAATACCCAATTAAATAAAAAAATATTAAAAAATGCAACAAATTAATAATTACAGATAAAATTGATTACAGTTTTCAAATTTGTTACGAACAAGAGTATCATGAACCGTTACCAGTTGTCGAATCAGGGGTACCTTTAGAACATTTAATTGCTTGTGTTCCCAATATGGAAGTTAATTATGTAGGACCCAACAAAAACATTAAGGTTGTTAAATATAATGAAATGAAGAATGTAGAAAGTGATGAAGGTAATGGAAATTTTTGGGATATATACCTGGCTAATCTGATTTTGACAATTTTTTTTTTGGGTAGATTTATTCCTCAGTAATGGCAAAAGTAGTATAAAGTACATTTTTTATCTGAAATTTGGAACACTTCATGGGGTTTGTCAGCTAAACATAGAATATCTTTTCTATACATAAACATAATTTACCTTTTCATTTACATCATTATATTTCTTATTACTTGAGATTCACAATTAAACTGAATTTCAGTAGATGTTTTATTGAAAACAAAAAAAACTGTAATAACAATAAAAAAAATGGTAACAATATAATAACTTAAAAACTATCAACCCTCAACTGCCTCCCTTGATGACAATGAATACATGCTCAGAGAAATATTTCGCGAATGAGTTGTTAGAGCGAAGCAATTATTAAAAGTATTCATTAAGTTTCTTCTTTGATTTTGTTATGCATTTTGTTCTTTTTGTTACTAATTTTTTTATTGTTTTCACTGGTTAAGTTTACGTAAGTTTATAATTTTATGAACATAATGCTTCACTTTAATTTTACTACATATATCAATTAATAACTAGTGTGAATCTAAAAAGAAATGATATAGGAAAGATGAGAATGAAACTAGTTTCATTCAGGGAGACGTTCACTATTTTAGCTGGGACATCCTTCAGCTAAAAAAAGTTATTCTTGTATCTTGTATCTGCCAAAAATTGAAATTGCAATAAAGATGTAATAAATAATAATAATAAAGATATAATTAAACAAAAATTGCCAAAATCAGATTAGCCATTCACGAGAAACTGATATTGGTATTCAATTTTAGTGATGCATTAATTTTGAAATAAGTATTTCTTTCTAAAATATTTTATATTAATCTTTATAGTATCTATATTTATTTATTGCATCTGGAAAAATTGTTAACAATCGCTACAACATAACAATTGAAATTTTCATCTTAATTGTTGATAAATGATTTTCAAAATATTGCCAAAATATATAAAGGGTGTCTCATAATTAATGTCCAATAATTTACCACTTGATTTTATTGCCAAAAATAAGAATATTTTCTCATATAAACATGGATTGAGGAATGCTTCCTAAGGGAGCTACGCCCCCCTAAATGGGGCCTCAAAATATTCATTTTTTTAATATATTTCCGAAATGGGTTGAAGGAAAATTATGAATTTTGACATGCTCATTAAATTCATGCTCCCATTCTCTAAGCATACATTAATAAAATTCAAACAATTTTTCTTGACTCATGTACATGAGTCAACAGATGTACATGAGAAAAGTTTGTTATGGGTGTCCCAAGTAGGGAGCGGGGAGTAGGGTCAAATTTGCCCCAAATTTTTTACATGTTGCTATTTTCAAATTTAAATAGTAAAATTTAATAGATCCGTTTTCGAGAAAAATCGTTTTAAATATGTTATAACACTCCAAAGTGTGCTTTTCTAAGCACTTAAATCTGTCTTTCTTGGAAATGGAGCATTTTATCGAAAGAAATATAGAGTACCTTTTTTGTAGAGGAAATGAAGGTCTATCATATGTCTGCCTCTGAATTTGAAAATTTTGACAAGCAAAAAAATTGTGGCAAATTTTAGCCGACGAATTGAGATACCCCTGATCAAAATTTTTGAAAAATTTTATGATGATCTATTTGGACCTTTAATGAGCGTTCATGGTGTCAAAATTCATAATTTTCCTTCAACTCATTTCGGAAATATTTAAACAAAAAATTATTTTTTGAGGCCCCATTTAGGGGGGCGTATTATGAGACACCCTGTATATACAGGGTGGGCCACCAGTAACGTCTCGGTAGCTAGGGACCAAACATCAAATGTTACAGAAACCTGTTTAGGTGGGTATGTGTAGGTTGTTTACGGCTACATCTTAAAAATATATTGAAATATACAAGGTGTCCAGGAAAAGCGTACCATATCAAAGTTATGTATTTTTAAATGGAACACCCTGTATTTCACTGCATTTTTGAAGGCACCGTAAAAAAATAGGTGAACTTTATTAAAGGTTCTGCATACCTAGGACTTGCAGTTTGTGAGATATTTAAATTTTAGTGAAAATGCAGGCGTAGCAGAAATTTAATATTAGCAATAAAAACATAATTTTAAGGAAGCAGCTTTGGAGGGTCTATTTTAGATCCTTGAAGTTAAAAATTGTTATATTTGTCGTCACTTAGTATTATACAGGGTGTTCAAAAAACTGCTGACTACTTCCCTCAACTTTATGCAGCAATAACTTGGTTATTTTAAATGGGACACTCAGTATATTTTTACTTTGGGAATTAGGAAATTTAAAACTCTTTCAAACTTTGTATAGCTTCCCTATACCTATCTCTAAGGGTATTGGGGATATTTGTGCCGTTTCGTTTTTATCGATTTTTTTGTAAAATGTATCGTGTCTTTATCGAGGTCTTTATTGAATTGGTTTGGGTTCTTCTTGATGACGTCTCTTTAAATATATTGAGAAAAATGAGGATGGCGCACCTGCAAATTTTTCATATTCACAGAAATTATTTCAATCGAAAATTTAGTAATAAATGATGAGTAGGAATGGTGCATGTTAATGGCCACGTAGGTGTCCAGACCTCACCGTAATGGACTTCTTTGTTGCGAGCTATATAAAAAATCTTGTACACACTGTTCCACCTACTACTTGCGATGATATTGAAGGGAAAGATTAGAGATGCATTTGCGTGAGAATATCATTTGAAGATAGAATAAGATGCTGTATTCAAGAGAATGGTTATCAATTCGAACATCAATTAAAATTTTTCTTTGTTTCTTCTAAAAGTAAAATGTCCTTTTATCATTATCATGACAATATGCAAAAAAGTTTTATAATAAAAAATATTATTTTATAAGCAGAATAATTATAAAAAGTTATTAATTTTGTATAAATATGTTTGTAGTAAATAACTGAATTATTTATGAACATGAAAAATATTTAATAAAGAAAATTTTACTTTTAGAAGAAACAAAGAAAAATTTTAGTAGATGTTCGAATTGATAATTATTCATTCCTTGGAATATTTGGGGTGATTGCGGCAAATGCATCTCTAACCCTTCCCTTCATATCATCGCAAGTAGTAGGTGGAACACTGTGTACAAGATTTTTTATATAGCCCGAAACTAGAAGTCCATTATGGGAGGTTTGGACACCTAGGTAGCCACTGACATGGACCATTCCTACCTATTCATTTATTACTCTCACAAAAAACTACAATAAAAAACAAAACAACACAAATATCTCCAATACCGTTAGAGATATGAACATATACACAGTGTGAAATACTGTCCAAAGCTGCTTCCATAAAATTATTTTTTTATTGCAAATATTAAATTTCTACGCTAAGCCTGCATTTTCACTAAAATTGAAATATCTCACAAACTGTAAGTCCTAGGTATGCAGAACCTTTAATAAAGTTCACCTATTTTTTTATGGTGCTTTCAAAAATGCAGTAAAATACATCCATTAAAAAATACATAACTTTGATATGGTACACTTTTCCTGGACACCTTGTATATTTCAAAATATTTTTAAGATGTAGCCGTAAACAACCTACACATAGCCACCTAAACAGATTTCTGTAACATTTGCCGTTTGGTCCCTAGCGACCGAGGCGTTACTGGTGGCCCACCCTGTGTGACGCGCATGAGTATTAATCATGGTAGTGGGGACTAAGTGCGGGAGAGTATTGATAAAGTTGTATTTTAAGTGTAATGTATGTAACCAGGAATATATTAATAAAACTGAGAGAAGTACGTGTTTCTGCCTCCCTGAGATCGTAGCACTTGTATACAGGGGTCGGCATAAGTCAGGCAACGCTCTCGAAAAATCAGCATAAGTCCGGCAACGCACATAAGTCTGGCAACGCTGTCGAAAAAGATTAAAACGAAGCATGTTTGTGCTTCAGACAGTTGTGTCTGTGTCATGAATATGATAACACGTGCTCGTCGAGTAGACGCATTTTCAGAATGAAAATTAATGCTCTTAATGCAAATTGGTTGCCTGACTTATGCCGACCCCTGTATGTATATTTTTTTTTAGACAAAAAAAGAAACATTTCTTTAAAACACCTTTAATCTCAAGAATATTTTATGATGACAACAAATAGTTTTTGGTAACATAATTAATATACTTTACAGATGCTGTTTTGAAAACTGTTCCTCCATCTTTAGCTCCAAATATAAGTCTACTCTGTCGGGAGCTGGTTGATTTATTAAAAACAATGGATAGATGCCAATTATTGCTAAGCAAGTTCATACCAGCTTATCATCACCATTTTGGGCGACAGTGTCGTGTAGCAGATTATGGTTATACAAAACTTTTAGATCTGTTTGAATCCATATCTCATGTAGTTCAAGTGAGTATTTCCATTATGTGACTGAAATATATAGGGAGGCGCATTAGTGTGGCAAAGTATGTGCCTCTTCACCTTGACTTCTCCCTTTTCGATTACGGGAAATGACACCACAGAATTAGTACTTTATTGTTTAAAGTACTATGATTTTTCGGGCTGTTATGATGTGGCCATAGACCTAGTAAACTATGGACTGGTCCTAGAAAAAGAGGTCAATCGCGCTGATGTGTGCAAGGCAGATGAAGCTAGTTGAGGCAAATACCGGTAAAACAAAAGATGGTACACGGGTATACCGGTACAAAATGCCGTAAACAAACTTTGAAGTAAATGTCATGTATTGACATTATTGATTGATTTCTTGAATTTTTGTGTGATTTAGTTAGTGTATATGAAAGATTCGTAAAAACTAAATATGGTGCAATCGTGTTCTGCGATAAATTGCGTAAAGAGACGTTTAAGTGGAGAAAAAATTAAATTTCATAGGTAGGAAAGAAGTTATGATGGTACCAACATGTTTATACTTTTCGCATCTTTCTGAAAATAATGACCAAGTAGAGTTGTCTCTGATGATAACTTATTAGATTATATTATTTTCCCTATCCTCAAAATAAAATGTCATTTTAACGTCAAAATGTTACCGCTGTAAATATGTTACTCTTCAAATTATTTCTTAACATCAAACCGAATATAAAGAAAAAGTTTTAACTGAAATGTACTTATAATGTGCTCCAGCGAAAATTCTCTTCAAATAATAGTTGAACGAAGAAAGCATCTACATAGTTTCAATTTATACAGTTCTGCAAAGCAAGAAAATATGAAATATTTGAAACAACTACGTCAGAAGAGCTTGCAGTAATTTTAACGGATCGAGTTTACGATATGAGGAAAATAAAGGCATTATAAGAACTATTTGGAATATTATAGCTAAAACAATTCAAATATTGTACTGTAATTAGGACAGTAATAAAATAAACCCTTTTACATACGTACACTACTGGAAAAAATGAAAATTTTTTGTCTTTTAGTCTCTATATTATTTTTATAAAGTCTTTGAATACGGTCCAACAGAAAAAAGGGATAAGGAATCGAGTATAGCTAGCTGACTGGTTGAATTAAATGTAGCGCGCTGCAATCAAAATTCTGTGAACGAAGCTTAAGCCCTTACTAGCTCCATCTCTCTCGCACACGTCTGAGCGATTGCCGTTTATATAGGCAAAATGACAGTTGGGCGAGTCCAGTAGTTTATATGGTCTATGGCTGTGACCTGTGTACCTGGTCACAGTCAGTTACAGAATTACCTTTCACTTCATTAGCCTTAGCTATTAATTATTGATCTGCCCTTATTGCTCTCGGGTGAGACTCTGTGGGGACAGACCCGTTATTAATACTCTAGGTCTGCCATGATGTTCATTTCGGTTCTTATTGTCTAAAGCCGCTATGGACAGAACCACTCCTCTGAGACGTTCCGCAGTGGCATCTGCAACTGGTCTCATACAATGCTTCTAAACGCGACTCAGCTGAGGAAGCATTTGCAGAGTTACCAATAAATATTGGCACATTGCCACACTAATGGACGATCCAGTAGAGAAGAGAAATGGGACATTATTTTTTTAGATTATGGGAGATGGTACACGTCGCGTCATAACACTTTCACACAGCGCACAAATGAGACGTTTCACCTCGGATCTACTCAGGGTTTTAAAAGTGCAGCCGTCCAAGCAAATTAGTATAACAGATTTTCCATCGGCATATGAGAAGGTTATGAACAAATCGTTTAATGCCGTTGAATATGGGTTGTGTACTTTTGAAGATCTCTTACAAGAAGTACCTGAGAATACAATAGTTGTTAGTAGAAACGATGAGGGAATAAATATTGCTGTTCCAAAGAGGGAACAAACTGCTGAAGAAATCATGAGGACAAAACAGTTTGCATCAGAGGTAATTATGATTTATTTATTAATTATTCCATGTATGAAGGCAGTAGTTCAAGCTTATACAGTATATAATATTAAGTGGGAGGCAGTTTTTTAGAGGCAATGGTACGTATTCCCCTGAATACAAAACTCTTTTCTTTCTTTTTTTTTTAATCAAATAAATAATTGAGTTATAATTAGTTTCGTAAACTTCATTTTAAAATGTGGTGGCATACACAAAAGAATTAATTCTTGTGTATGCCACCATTGGGTAAAGTGGGGCACCCACAATTAGTATATTAAGTTGTATTCCTGCACTATCACTGTTGCCAGTTGTTTTTAAATCAACCTATATTATATGAAGTTACAGTGGAAAATAATTTAATAAAACAGATTGCTTTTGTATAACTTAGCTACTTTTAAAGTCACCATAGTTTTTTTTGGATGTCACATTGAAACTATTGAAAAATAAATTAGTTTCTAATTGTACATAAAACTAATTTAAGTTTTAAATAATTACTCTTTGTTTAAAAAAAAACAGAAACATAAAAATAATAATCTACTTATATGAAATATTCTTTTAAAATCATTTAAATTTTGTACGTATTTAATTTGTCAGTCTCAGTGTCAATGACCTCTGACATTGACCTAGGTTAGCTGAACTATACTACTGTCAAGGAAAGTTAACACAGTATGTAAAGAAATACGGTATGTTTCCACTCTTTTTTCTTGTCCAACTATTTCTGCATCGAATCAGTACGAGACATATTAACTTAACCCAAAATAAATAAAATAGCAACAAAATTAAATCGTGAACAGTAAAAATTTTCATTTCTAAATTTTTGTGTTATATGAGAAAATATGTATACGTATCAAGAAAGATGAAATTGGACAACATTGCATGCCATAGATCTCAACTGAGTACATGCTCCTGCGTAGTCGTTTGCGGTTGTACTAGACTCAGGGTATCAAAATAATGAAAAAAATATTTTAGAAAAATCAGTTTTCACAATGGATTTCAGAAATCACACATCACAATCGCACACATTGTCGTAATCTTGTGACCTTGAAGGTAATTGTCAAGGTCAACTTAGTTTTATTAAATGGAAAGCATTATTTTCAACCCCGGATTCGGTAAGAGTGGAAAATTCTACATTCAGAAGATTTATCATGGTCACGTCACAGAATATCCTAACTACACAGAAGCGACATAAACGGCGGCTCCTTTGATGTTGGCGTGGTGAAAATATTCGACCTTGAACGGTGATGAACAACATGTTACACTGAGAGAAAGGTTATCAGAGATATACTGAAAAAACAGTTTATAAAATTTACTTTGAGATATTAAGCCTTTAAATTTTTATATGATTATGAATGAATAATATAATCATATTTCCAGTATAATTTTCAATAGCTTGTGGCATAAAACAATCAGTTGGACATAAATTATATTACATTGGTTGTTGATGTAAGGCATGATTTTATGCTTAATTAAAAAAAAGCTAATTTGATTTGCACATGACACGCGTCTGTTACTACTATAATTAAAAATTTCGTGTAGATGGAATATAGTTATAAATAAATCTAAATACCACAAAAAATATTTATTTTTTAATATTAAATATACAATATTGTTTATTATTCGTTAGTAACGGCCCATAGAGAAATACTAGATTCTTTGCTTCAAAATATTACGATTGGAGCCAACATTTCGTAATAAAATGTTGATAATAAAAGTTACAGGGTGTCCAAGTTGAAATTTAAAATTTGAATGTTCATAATAATTATGATTTTGAATATAAGAATGTAAAAATTTTAGGGTTAATATTTTTGATACAAGAGATCATAATCTGTTTGTTTATTTTAATGCATTTTCTAGAGGGCACCGCATTCGCCATGTGTGTGACGTAAATATGAGCGTAACTTTTTTTACGAGTAACGTTATAGCTTAATTATTAAAAAATCTTAAGAGTAAAGAGTCCAGTATTTCTCTATGGGCCATTACTTATGGACCACCCTATATTTGTAACATTTTATAAATGACAAATTATTGTTAGTTTCCTATTTTTATTTCTTTTATTACAAACTAATTCTCTATTTGTATATTTTAAAGTGTAAAATATTTTGAGTCTTATAAATAATTTTAATACATATAGTGCCGGGAATTTGTTACAGGGATGAATAAACTGAATAGTCTTTAAATTGTTTAGAAGTAAGTGAGAAATTCCTGGACCTACTGTGATTTTTTCAAAAAGCGACAGGAAACTTTTTTCTAATTTAAATATATAATTTACGAACTCTTCACTCGGCACTCTTAAACCTCCAAACAATCTTTTTTCAGTTTCGTAAGCTTTAAAATATGTCAACAATTGTGTTATATCTAATTCGTTGCACTCAATCGAATATTTTATGCATGTTTCGCAACTATGTACACCAAGAGCTTTTTTAATTAAATAACCACATACGTAATTAAATGCATTTTGTGCAGTAATGTTTTGAGATCGATAATCATAATCTGGCAATGATATGGCTTTAATTTCTTCGCTGTCGCTGTCGCTTTCACTGTCTTCAATGTTGGATTCTTTGAAATTAATTAATCCGAGTAACAATTCATCCAGATCATCCCCACAGTTCATATGATCTGAATTAAGGTAATTCTGGCAAAACAGTTTTCTAAATGATCTTTCAAATTGGATGGGTGTGGGATTAACACTGTTTCCTCCTTGCTGTCTCACACTACCGAAAAAATTTTCTAAACAATCGGTATTCACCCTCCTGGTTTGTAAGTATTTGAAGCCCATCAGTTTTAATTTTTCCCACAGACTTTTTATACCATTAATTGTTATTACCCAACATTTTTTTACTCTAGATTTTGAAGTAATATTATCTCCATTTTTATTAGATATTTTCAATTGATTGAAAAATGTTACCATCTCATTGAGAAAATTTAATTGAAAATCAGCTGCCTCAAAAACATTTTTAAATTTGTTCGGATGGTTATGTTCCGAAGAGTTTAGCAAATCAAACAGTTTGTTAAATTTTTCTATAAACTCAATAGTTCCTATAGCATCTGTAGGGAGTGCCCCTAAAGTCATGTAAGTGTTCATTCCGCTGGCTACAGTATTACTCATAACTTGGGTAGCCAATCCCACTTTCATTTTCTCAAAATTAGAAGGATAAATATGTGCATTGGTCAGTTTTGGTGCACATCTGTAAAACTGTTGTTTATCTTTTTTATAAAATTCCTCAATATATGTCCAGGAGGTTTGCTTGCCATCAAATTGAAATGTATTTTTAATCAAACTATTCCTTGTCGCTTTGATTAAGTGACATGTATCAAAGAAGTATATTATGTTTTTTCCATTGATGTGAAATTCCGGATTATCCGGAGTTACTCCTAAAGAATTTGCTAATTCTATAAAGTTGGAACCCATGTCACTAACAAGGCCTTCTACATGGATACCCACATTTTCCAGCATTGAAATGCATTCAATAATTAAAGGTTTTAATTTATTGGCTTGCAGCTGGGCACCTGCGAAAAAATAAGCAATTGGCTGTTTCCAGTTTGAATACAGTCCTCTTGCCATAATGACTAATGCATTTTGTGCTGCAGCGAATTCTTTAGATGCACCGCCAGTGTCAATGAGTCCGACTAATTCATCACGACTTGTGTGGTAAAATAGGTTCCATTTCAATGCCATTTCATCAAAACATAAGGTACAATGTTTGTCCTGGTTCATCATTGTTTTGGCCTTAATTTGAAGTGCTTTAAAAACAGGCGCATTATTTACACCAGGTTTACAGACAAGTTTCTCTGTTAATCTTTGTAAGCTTCTCTTTGTTGGGAGGCACAATAATTTGCTAAGAAATCGATAAGCTCTGGGGCCTAGAAAATAAAGCGTCAAAGCAAATTGTTTATAATTTGAAGAGTATCTTCGCGCTACACGTTTTCTTTGTTTTAATAAAGCCTCTGATTTTACAATTTCGGCAAGTGGTTTAGACGAAAATTTGTCACAAAGATCGTAAAATTCCTGTAAGGTTGGTTCTGTCTGTTTTTCTTGTTTTACCACTCTTCTCCGTCTCTGTTGCCTTAAAGCTTTAATTTCCATCCTTAATTTTGTTTTTCGTGGAGTTCCAGCAGTTAACCAGGCTGGTGTTTGTGTTAATGATGATGATGAAAGTAAAGGGGAAGTGGGTGGTGTTTTCTGAAGAAATTCTGGAACTTCAGAATGTTGCATACCACTTGGCCCTAGAAATTCAAATTATTATAAATAAACAATAAATATGCTGGATAAAAAAAAACTTATATACCTGGTATAGACCATTGGGTTGAAGATGAAGATGAAAATAATCGTGAAGTAGGAGTTATTTCCTGAAGAAGTTGAGAAGAGTGCTGCATACCACTTGAACCTAGAAAATTGAATTATTATAAACAAAAAATATTCTGGGGTGTAGACCATTGGGTTAAAGGTGAAGATGAAAATAATTGTGAAGTAGGAGTTATTTCCTGAAGAAGTTGAGAAGAGGCCTGCATATCACTTGAACCTAGAAAATTGAATTATTATAAACAGAAAATATACTGGAAAAAAACATATACCTGGTGTAAACCATTGGGTTGAAGGTGAAGATGAAAATAATGGCGAAGTAGGAGGTATTTCCTGAGGAAGTTCAAATGTTTTGGAGCACTGAGTATGACTTGAACCTAAATAGTTAAACAAATTATTACAATAAACTTATTCTAAAAACGAAGAAATAACAAATACATCTTATTAGAAAAAATAATTGACATACCTGGTGATGGGGATTTTTTTGCAGGAGTGACTTCAGTAATTTCAACAGTGGGTGGTGGAACAACCGTCTCTGAAAATAACTGAAATAAATAATATATATGATAATAACTACCAGTATGAATAAATATTTATTATGCATTTGTGCTTTTTCTACACATTAAGATAAAGATGCCAAATGATCACAAATTTGGAAATGACAAATACATAAATTGCAGATAAAATATTGTTAGGTATAAATTTTGATGTAATCACTGTTTAGTATTAAAGTAAAGATAAAAAAGTCATAGTTTTCCATCGTAGTAACTATTAAAATCAATATGTAGTTTTGTTGAAGTGAGAAAAAAATTTATTACAGTAAAGTTTCTCTAACTCGAAATTATCTGTAATTGGAAACTATTTTTGTTCATTTGATATAGATACACCTTATTTTATATGTAATTTTGCCTCATTAACCAAATTATATCTAACTCAAACAAATTTTGCTAGATTTAGAGGGTTTGAGTTACAGAATTACGACTATATCTATATATAATAAACTAATATAATATTTTAACTTAATTCATGTACAATTAATACATTTAACTTACCTGAAAGGACAATAACTTTTTTAGATGGTTCCTCAAGCCCTTCATCAGTAACACACTTTGATGTTCCAGGAAATAACGTAGGTATTGCTTCAAGAAATAAAGTTTTCCGAAGTCCACCTTTGGACAAATATTTTTCTTCAAAATGTAGCTCGCAAAGTCGATAGTTATGTGTATCTGGATTTTTCTCGAGAAGATCCTCTCTATTGCAGGCTTTCAACCATGCTGAAGCTCTAAAACAAAATTGTTTAGTTTATTTCATTCAATACTATTTAGGTATATAATGTACAAAAATGTAGATTTTTATTAATTATCAAAACATACTTAATAATTCTAGTATACATTCAATATATTTCAAATTTTGTAATACACATCTAATTATTACACATACCTGCTCGAGTCTTTGGGAATGGTAAAGAAGCTTAGTCCTCTACCTGTTTTGGATGGGCACCCTCGACAAATACAATAATAACCCCCTCGATGATACATCACAAATATTATGTCTGTTTAAATAGTCACTAATACTAATCACTCACACTAAGTCTAGAATAAATAAATACCAACAATAAATACACAATAAACGCAAGATATAAATACAACACACCACAAGTAAACAACACGCTCAAAAGTGAGGTTGAGACCGAATTATCGATCGAAACTAGGCTTGGTTATTTGACGGAAAAACAACATGTTTCCATGGCGATTTTAGCACATGCGCACTGAAAATCGGCTTCCGCGGGAAACCACTTTGTCGCTTCTGTGTAGTTAGGATATTCTGTGGTCACGTGAAGGTCAATTGTTTTACTGAATCTTTCCACCCAAATGACCCCACAAAGTTAAGGTTTAGTGAAAAATCTGTCAGATAAACGTTGAAAGTTTTTGAAGTGACATGTTTCGATAACCTTGAATTTAACGCTGGAAAGAATTTTTAACTTCGATTTTTTAGTAGGAACCCTCATTCTTAATTCTGGATTCGGAAGGAGCGGAAAACTGTAGGTGCAAATAAATCGGGCAAAATACTTAGGTACCTAGGTAGATACATGATACGTGACCTTGCAGGGTGAAATGGACCCCACACATGATACATCATCTGTACGTAGAATTTTCCGCTCTTTCCGAATCCGGATTTGAAAATAAGGGTTTCCATTAAAAAAAAATGAGTGTACCTTGAAATGACCTTGGACTTTCAAGGTCACTACACAAGGTCACGACAATATGTGCCCCTTGGAGGCCAGTAACTTTCATCTGAACCATTTTTCACATAACCATGTACTTTGGATTTTAGAAAGGGTGGACGGGTGGTCTGGGACACACTGTATATTAATATGGCAAAGTATAACAGTTCTATTATTATTTGAGTTCTAAAAAGCATTAAAAAAAATTGGGAGTGATCAACGGGACATATGAATGTGTTACGACCGTAGGCACTGAATTCTGGGGCTCTGGTTGCTGTAGCATCCATGATTTGCAAATTTTTGCTGTGAATACAGAATCTATACACTTCAGATACTCCAAAATATGTTTTATATAGTGGAATAAAAGTTATGATCGATTCGACGCGAAATGTAAATTGGTACTCGTAAAGCACATCGATATAGTCCTTGGATAAGTTCGGCAAATTTGGGGTAATGTTATATACCACCACGGTTAAGAAATAAGTAATAAGCACTTTAGCCAACTGAGCGATATTTTTTATTTCTGTCTAACACATAGTTTTCAGCTTTCTATCTTTTTTGCCCGGCAGTCCCGCTGTTTATTTAAATTTTAAAATGAATACATACTCAACAAATTATTATTGATATTCCATAATCATAATTTTTTATTTTTATTTGGTTTGAAATAAAAAAACAAAACATAAGACGCCTCAATATTATATCGATTCGAATGGGTGGAGAAAATTTTCAAGAGTACCGATATATCGACAATATTTTAATCTCGATTGTTAATCATCGAATCGACATTTCGAGAGTCCCTGCTCAGTGATCATCTAGCAAATATACACGCTTAAATATTCTTGCCAATATGACAAACTGGTGAGATGATTTAGTTTTTGACCTATAAGTGTGTTTTTAAAAAAATTGACTGTTGTTTTGCTGCTGTACTTTAATATTGTTACACTATTTTACATTTTTCTTAGTCAGATGATATTGTTTCAAAAATGTATGTAATATGAGTTGACATGGGAGAAAAAAAATCTGTAGTAATGGTAAAGCTTTCTTTAATAATATCAGATAGAACATCTATTGATGACCACATTTTAACCGTCTTAAATGAAAAAAAATACATACTCTTCTGTTATCCGGATAATCGAGTATATACTCTACTAGTATCCTACAAAATCTTATTATTTTTTAGTTTTATTATTCAGTAGGTTAATGTGTATAAATATGTAATTAGGTTTTATTAATTCAGGTTATCGATTTATTAAGGCACTCTCCATATTATACCATGTTATTTAACAAGTTTGTTCCTGCATATCATCATCATTTTGGACATCAGTGTAAAGTTTCTGATTATGGGTTTACAAAACTGATAGAACTGTTTGAAGCTATTCCTGATGTCGTTAAGGTAAGCAAATAATAAATAACTAGTCTTAGTTGCTGGTAGATAATTTGAATAAAAATATTTTTAGAACATTCTTTTTCTCGTATCGACTATACAGTATGTCTGATATCAACTGTAAGTTAATAACTAAATTTATGATGTACAATGCCTTCATAAATGTCTGAGTCCCCGTGGCCGTGACTGTTAGGCAATCAAACTCAGTGATTAACACACAGTGGAGTACATATTACAATTCTTTACAAACATTGAACTTTAATTTACAAAATGGGTTTCTTTTTTCAATAGAAAATAGTTATTTTTTACATTTTTACTTAAAAAATAATCATACCCCTTAAGATATTTTGAATTTTTATCCCGTTCTATATTAAAAAAGTGTTTTGATTGAAAGTGGTTGCCATTTTAAAAATATAGGCTCTTTTGTAATCCACTTTCAGTCAGCGATAATGAAAATATTGTTAATAAAACAGAAACATTTTTTAGTGATTTATTATTTTATTTTTTTTTTCAATATTTATATATAAATTATAGATATATTAATTTACCTTACAATGCTAACATAAACACAAATATTTTTACTCAGATAACAAAAATTTATTATATCACTCTTTATAATAGATATTCAAATAGATATAATAGATATTCAATATAATAGATATTCAAAATTCTTCATTTTCCAAACATAAATTTACTCTATGTTTCATGCACTCAAAAACGCGTTAAAAATGAATCGGAGTTATATGTTTAATTGCTGCATCCAGCTCTTCAAATGTATGAAGAGGATGTAACCTATCTATCACCATAAAATTCCTGAAGACATTGTTATTCTACTGCAATAAGTGCTTTAGCTCCATCTTGTTGAAGATACCCATGCTGCAGTTTATCGCCATTCATTAATTCCCAGGCTTGTTGTAAAATGTTACGGTATCGTTCTCCATTTATTACTTCTCGGAAAAAATTCCATCTTGAAACTGCTACTGATCCCTATCTTCTGAGGATGTAACGTTTTTTCAAAACAAGTATGCGGATTTTATGGAGCCCAAGTTCTATAATTCTGACTTTACATAACCAGATAAATGTACCTATGCGTCATCGGATTAAAAGGTCTAAGAAATTATCATTGTTTAAATGTTCATTAAACCATCCACAATATCGTATTCCTTGGTTGTGATCAAGAGGACGTAACTCTTGCATAATAGAAACCTACATATGCATATGCATATGCAGCTGCTTCTTTAATGCCTTATGACAAGTCTCAACTGATACACCTACGGACATACGTTAATTGAAATATTCTCTTGACATATTATCAATATAACAATTATTTCTTGTAAATATACAAATTAACCAGCGTAAAGCTGTTGATAAAAAAATACATTCTAAAAATATTGTAATCAAAATTTTTCAAAATTATTTTATTAATTTTCTTTTAACTTCAGCTTTATGTTTAAAAATTTACATAATTCAAACTATATGAAGTTTATCATGGTATCTGTTCGAGTAGATAACTGCAAAACAGGCTTCTTAGGACTTTACACCATTTGTTGTGGAATATCTTGAACATTTTCTGTTAAAACAGTAGGTCTGCCTGTCGACTTGCCTTTGCAAATGCAATGTTTTTCCTTTTAATTTGTGTTTTTTTAAACGCATCATATACGAGGGTGAATCAAATATAAACCGGAATTATTTTAGTACCGATAGTGTGATCAAAGAGTTCACTGGCGGGCATGCCTAGAGGACTTTGAACCGCTATAGAACGCCACATTACCACGTGTTGAGTAACTATCGCGATGTCTTAACGAAAAGTACCGTTATCCGTTGTGCAACGTATTATAGTTAAATTTCTTACGGAAGAAGGCGTAAAACCATCAGAAAACTTGAGAAGACCTCAGGCACAATTCAGGGATAATACACTTAAAAAGGACACAAATGTATTCCTAGCACAAACAATTTTTAGAAGAGCGAGAAGCAATCGAAAATGAAGGTCACCAATGTCGACCAAAAACCAGCGTGACAGAGGAGAACATACGTACTGTTCGCTGACTTCTAAAGCATGACTGATAATTAACAGTAGCTGAAATTGCTTTTGAGGTGGGAATCAACTTTGGCAGTGCTCAAACGATCATTACTGATGACCTCGGGTTTTGGAAAGTGTCCGCAAGGTGGGTACCTCCTCTTTTCACCGAAAATCAAAAATGGAATCGTATGGAAGTGTGCCAACGGCATTTGAGCCGCAATGAGGCTGAAGAGGAAGGTTTTTTGCACCGGATAGTGACTTGTGATGAAACTTGGGTGCACAATTACACCCCCGAATCGAAGCAAGTAAGTATGTAATGGCAAACGAAGAACAAATCTACACCTGTTAAAACTAAAACTCAACTCTCGGCAGGAAAGGTCTCCACGAATGTCGAACTGTAAATACCGTGTACTACTGCCAACTTTTACATGATGCAAAAACGGCATATTGTCAGAAAAGAGGCGGCTTTCCCATAAGAAATTAAAACATTGTCGTGGGCTACACTGGAATACGCTCCCTACACTCCGGACTTATCACCCTGCAACTACCACCTGTTTGCACCGATGAAAGAAGCTCTTGGAGGACAATGTTTTGATGATGATGTTGCAGTTGAAGATTTTGTGCACAATTGGCTTATAGCGCAACCATCTTCGTTTTATGGAAATGGGATAACAAAATCAGGATCAAACCTTTGTATTTTTATCATGTCCCAATAAAACAAAAGTTTTCAGGCATAGTAAACGAATTGCACATTATTTATTTTTTGTACATACATTGGGGCTGACTGACCAGCTCTGTCCCCACATTCAGCTGGCTGACTAACATAACTTTTATTTATATGCAATATAGAATTTGTATGATTTTCAGCCTTAGTAAATTCATTTCATTACTTGGTAGGTACGACAACTTTGATTGTGTACCTGTGGCCCCTGTTCTAAGTTTCGCATGACTGACCACAGTATGTTTGTGTACACAACTACTGTAATCAACTATAAAAAATTAGCTCTCCTATAATGGATGTACTTTTTTATGAATTGAAATAAATTATCTTATACCAGCTCCAGATTATGTGATCATTCGTAAAACATTCGTCAAACGCAAATGTGTCAAAATTTGCAGATTATTTGGCTAAAATCTATCATACATGAATTATAAGCAGTAAGCACATGACAAATATCTCCTCAAATATTCCTTAAATTCTATACAAGATGTACATACTTACCAATTGTTAGCACGTCAACCGCTTGTACACACTTCAAGCAGCAAGTGCTGCATACACGGTCGGAAAGTCCCCATGGTTCATCTGCCGTTACATGAGAGCGATAAAGAAAAGTCATAAAAATCCGTGCTATAGAGAAAGATGGCTACAATGAAGGCGTCTAATAGTCTCCGCCATAAATATGAAAATCACATTTAAAAATCAATTGATCTTTCATAAAATATGCATATTTACAAATCAACTGATGGGCTTTGTCCATATATAGTATGTCTCAAAATTGACCCCCATTTAGGGGGCTAAAATAAATTGAACATGAAGGATGAAAATTTTGTTCTTTCAAATAGCTCTATATGAAGTCCACTAGATTCTGATCTGGTGATACATTGCACAAATGTTTGCTCTGGCATAGGATATGCACACTTTGCGATATGTGGGCAATATTTTATTTTCTAATATTAGTTTAGTCTTTAGAATCAAATCCTAAAAACACTCTTGTCAACTTTAAGACACCTTTTATAAAACTGCACCTAACTGATAAAAAAATGTAATTTTTTTTACACAACTGAAACTTCATTTGGAAATTTGGAATTCCTAATATCTTTTAGTAGCATTTTCCAATATTTTATTGCTTGTAGTCATCTTTAATTTTTTCCTAGGCAAAACATTAGTCCTTGGCAATTCTTATTATTTTAAAATATGAATTATTTCTTACATATATGTAGTGGTGATAACAAAAATTTCTATTCACCAAATTATGAAAGCTATTTTCATTATAAGTACATATTACATTGTCAGTATAAAGCAACTTCATAGTATGTATACAGTAAATAAGAAGAGCAAATGAATAAATGTTTAGAATTGCCACTAGCTTATGGCATACTAATTTTAGATTGATGAATTATCAGATGGGGAGAGAACAGTAAGTCTAACCCTTGAACAGTCCCTAAAAATACTTGGATCTCAAATAGTACAAATTATCAAAGCTTCAGGACAATCAGCGGTACCTCTGGATGATGTGCCTCGAATATATCTTCGAGAATATGGATATCCACTTAAGCCACAACTTTATGAATGCGATACTATAACGGAAGTAACCCAGAAACTATTTGAATATGTTCAGGTAAGTGTTGTAAAACGCATGTAAAACTTTATTTTTAAATAATTATTCCAGTTAATCAATGGTAATGCTGGTTCATTACTCGTTGCAATAGACATGGACATGATACCTAACACTTTGAGAGTGAGGAGTTGGGCTCTCTTATTGAATCCACCTCACAGTAAAAATGTGGTGACGTTCCGTTATGAATACCAGTGTCGTTATAATAGCAATTTTTCAATTGAAGGTTTGCACCAGATTGGGAATGTTATTTCGGTAAGCTTTAAATTCACTGCTATTCAATCAGTGCATAATATTTTTTTCAGATATCAAATGATACAAATATCATATCCCTAACTGTGTTGTATATTTTGGCTGCTCAAATATATCACATTATTTACAACAATGGCGGAAGTGTATTATATAATAATTTGGAGAAACTATATTTTGAAACATTTGGAAAACCACTGAAGCTATCTAATTATCACATATATTCAGTTGACGAATTTTATAACAACTTCAATTTACTATTTTTTATAAGAGGCAGCAAAAAGAAGAGTGTTGTAGTTCTCCATCGAAATTTAGCAGGTACAATATTGTAATAGTATTTGTTCATATAGACCATAACATTTGCTCATAATTTATCACTTTATACATGAGATATATATCAAAATGATAGACAGTGTATTCATGTTTATGGAAGAAATTTTTATTTTTGGTGTTTCATAAAAAAAGTCAAAATAATTCTAAGGAATATCCCAGTCCTAGGTAGTAATTGATGGACATACTATACATACAGTCTATACGATATTTGTCGAGATATGTATAATTCCAAGAAGACCCCTGCGGCACTTTCTTGGAATTAACTGCATTTGTCACCCGAAGTAGAAAGACATTGGCGGAAAATTTCAAGGCACGCCCCTGCGCGGTAAATTGTTATGGTAGTTCCAATAACAGAACTTTATTGGCTTATTTTTTTCTTGGAATTTTATTTCATAAATATCGTACCGACAAAAAGACTAGTAGAATAAGAACGAATGGCTATAAGTTGAATGTTATTGACTACTTTACTTTTACCACTATTACAAAAGTTTTTAAAAATATTTTAGATAAATAAAAAATGACTACCAAATGAGAAAAACTTACCTTTGTCATTTTGTTCTTTGTGTCTTGTTCATAGTGTTTAACCACTCGCCACATGATAAATTAAACTTGCCGTGGATTATGAAAGTTAGTGCTACGTCTATAGACATCCCATACATATTAAATGTTGAAAAAGGATGGTAATTTATGTGCTGTTTAACTGAGGTAGTGTGTTATTGCATTCTACCGATAAAGTCAACTATTATATTTCAAATTATTTCTTTGTAGAGGACAAGTTAGTCCTCTTAAAACTACATTGTTGTAAATTTGAACATGAGCAGAATTTTTTTTTACAAAATCAAAAATAAAATTTTATCTCTTTTCAACTCCATCTGTGGACATACCGTATAACTTTTTGGTTTTAAATCACTTGTTAAAGTTTGTTGAAATAATTAATGTATGTAAATTTTTTAAATATAGTTTTTTTTAATTTCGCATACTTATAGCAAATAGAAAATATTTTTGCAAGTTATAATTCTGTAAATAACTGTTTCCATTTTTTTATGTGAATGGGCTGGTTGCTTGAGGCACAGACAATCAAGGTTCTATTGTATCTGGTTAATAATTAGTTACTTCTAAAGTCATAAATTTAATTTTTCCTGACAATTCTCCATTCTCTTTAAGAACATCTAGTGCCTTTGCCATCATCAATGTATAAATCCACGGCTAGTAAAAAAGAAGTTATTAACTGGCCTCCACCACCACCCGAAATGGTCCAGAGTACTGTTAAAAAGGTGTCGCCTCCCAAACCTGATACTCCACCTACTCCCGTAAGTATTGTATAAAATATTTTATATCTTGTATTTTATACAGGATCAATATCGAAGTGTGTTTTCAGTTTGTTTTTTAAGTTTTAGTCGAAAATCAGGCTTTTTTCGAAAAACATAAGAGAGTAGTAATTTGTATAAAATTGAAAGCCGAATACGAATATATCATGGTTGTTACCGTAAAACAGTGGCGTACTATTTTATTTAGAAATATATGCCACCGATACCCTGTATCTCCACCACTAGAGCATGTAAATTTTAGGAAAAGCCGTCAGATTTTGGACAATGTTTACATAAATACATGTGCCCAATTTCAAATTATTTCACTTACTAGTTTTTAAATTATCCCCTTAAAATTCACCAAAGAATACGAGGTTTCATTTTTGGTCACCATTTGTGAATCATCCTGTATATCTAACCCCACAGAGAAGCTTCCTAACTGATGAAAAAAATTTTGCGCTTTCTTCTTTTTCATAAAATTTTCATTTTCTTAAAGTTACAGCTTTATGAAGTTTGAAAAATAGAATGTTAATATCAAATTAAAATTTAAATATATATCAATATGAAGAAAAAATAATTATGAAAAAATATATAAAAAACACCTGTTTCTATCGTATCAGTTGATTATTAAAAAAATATATTTTGCTAATATATTTGTAACTCTTTTCGAGATCTCAGGGTCGGCCTTCAGCCCCCCTATTTGAATGTATTTCATTTGAAATTTTTTATTATGGAAGTTCTCTATATAGGCATAGAAACATTTCCTAAAAAATAATATGGGTCCCACGCTTCATTATCAAAATATAACCACCTTAATTTTCTCGAGCCGTCACTGCTAATATATTGAAATTGTTTAATAAAGTAACCATTCAAAACAATTTCAATATATAAAGTATGCATTTTTGAATTTAGACATATTGTTTACTATGTATTGTTGGTGTACTTCAATGCCAGTTGGAGCATGTAGCACATAGAGTAGTTGTTTCCCGGAATATCAGCAGCTAGGAGTCTTGTCTATGGGGTTAGATACCTTTTGCATACCTAGATTTCTACTATCGAAGTGTGATTGCATTTGACAAGATTAAAAAGAAATTAAATTTGTTTGGATTAACTTAATATCTTTAATAGAGTAAAAAATACAAGACTTAATAGAACATTTATGTTTTTTGGAAAGTAATTTAATTGTGTTCTAAATTGATACTTTTTTCTAGGGAAGTAGTCTCTGGAACAATTGGAATATGTCATCCTCGTTTGATAACAGCTTGGTAAGATTTAATGTTTTTACAATGATTGCATGAGATTATAATGAAAAGAGTATGTGAGAGAGTATGATGAACCTTCTTTGCTAATTTCAACTTCACTTTTAATTAGTAATAAGATCTGTGAGTTTGTTGTATAATTCAGTCGAATAGACTGCAAATTGAGGAATAGAAAAACTACGTTTTTACATTTATAGGGCTACAAATGTAAAAATTTTTATTTTTTTTTACCTCCATTCCAAATGTTAAAATAACCTTTTTTGGGGAAGAACTACCCTCTGGAGTAGAGTTCTGGTTGATTTTATTTTTTCTATATTTAGCATTACCGTAGTACTATTTTTATAACTATTGTGGTGCGATATATTTTGTGTGAACATATTTATAATTACATTAGTAAATTGCGTCCAGGACAGGTATTCTCTAACAAACATTTCGCTAAACGATTTCAAACGCATAGCGCAAATGACGTCAATTCACGTATAGCGTCTGCAATTTGGTATTCTCTAACTGCTTTGCGATTCGGTTTTGTAAAAATGCTCGCCGTTTTAAAAATATTTAGCAGCTTTTTGCTTATCGTTTTTACATCGCCGGCGCGCTGACATCTCGAATGTCAGCACAAACTGCAAGTAACACGTGCAAGTTGAGGTTATTTTATTAAAAATTATACAACAAATATTACTTAAAATGGAAATGGATGACATATTGATGATAAATCTGATCTGATTGAAAATTAAGAAAATATGCGTTAGCGGTATATTGTTGATGATCCATTCGATTACACAGGAAAACAATATAAAGGAAAATCATTACCAGTGACATTTTTGTGGTATGTATGCTGGATATCGACTAATTATAAACAAATATAATACTTAACTCAAAAAGAGACTGGTTGATTTTATTTTTGATGCTTATGGTCAAGATCAATGACAAAATAATATGTGTATGGCAAATATATGGAATTAGACTTTTTTTATTTTCCACGTTTAACAGTCACTGAACCCACATATTTCATAGAAATTAATAATAATAATAATAATAATAATAATAATAATAATAATAATAATAATAATAATAATAATAATAATAATAATAATAATAATAATAATAATAATAATAATAATAATAATAATAATAATAATAATAATAATAATAATATATTTATTTCATAAGACTTTGCTCATACAAAGTATCGAAAATTGTCGAAAGTACAGGGTGATTCACTATATTTTGACCCCCCTTTAACTTTTTTGTTTTAAGAGTTATAAAAAACTTTGTTAAGTTAAATGGAACACCCTGTATATTTTTACATATTTGGATAGAACGTTCCCTGTCGAGCATAGCCATATAGGGTTTGTTGGATCCATCTCTAACAATAAGCAAGATACTTTTAAAAAACGAAAAGAAGGTTTTTTTATTAAGAAAATAATACATCTTGTAATTGTTACACCTCTTTCAGGCATTTCTGCCTTTTTTCCGATTACGTAAGGATTTACAGATTTAGTTATAATATATTTTGATATATCCAAATATATCCGGTCCAAAATACGTATATGTAATGTAACGAAATCTCACTAATTAGGCCGTGAAAGGTCTATTTACTCATGGACATGGTAGGTCGTGACAGTGACAGGTAGTAATGTTTTGACAACATTGTTATTGATTGACAGTATGTATTATTATTTAAATAAAATAGGTTACACAGCAGTAAAAAATTATTTAGAATTAAAGTAGAGTACGGAACTTTGCTCTATTTTAATTCCTATAATATTTCAATTTTCTACTTCTGTGTAACCCATTTTAATTAAATAATAATACAAACTGTCAAACAATAACATTGTTCTCCTGACATTACTTGTCACTGTCATGGCCTACCATATAACATTGTCCATGAGTAATGAGGCCTTTCACGGCCTAAATAGTGAGATTTAGTTAAACTATCTATACGCATTTTGGACAATATCAATGTCCGATCTGTCAAAATATAATTATAACTAAATCTGTAAATCCTTGCGTAATTGGAAAAATATAGAAATGCCTGAAAAAGGTTTAACAATTACAAGATCTTTGAAAAATTCATATACAATCGTGCAACTTTTGTATTTCACATTTTTTTATAACTCTCAAAACAAAAAAGTTAAAGGGGGGGTCAAAATATAGTGAATCACTCTGTATGTAACACAAATAAAAAACAGATAATAATTGTATATGGACAAAATACAAAATATAGACCAATGACAATATATAGAACATAATTACAAAATATGGAATAAAAATTGCAATAAAAATTAAAAATTACAATAAAATTTAACTAAAAAAATTAAAATTAAAAACCAGACTCATTGAAGACACAACACATATAGTCATCAATACTGTAGAAGGTATTCTGTAAGAGAATTCGCTTTACTTTGTTACGAAAGAGAACACAAGAATTTATCTGTTTAATATGCGTTGGCAACTTAGTATATAATTTAATGGACATAATAAAAGGGCCTTTAGCCGTTAATGTTAGACGATGCTGGGGTATCTTTAAATTAAGAGATTCTCTGAGATTATAGCTAGAGGACTACCTTGTATTGGCACGTGTAATGAAATTTGTTAAATGGTTTTTCACGTATATGTAACACAGCTCAAAATATATAGTGAATAAACTGTAAGAATACCTAATCTTTTAAATAATTGCAAGAATCTCGTGCCTTTGAATTAGTCATCGTACGTATAATCTTTTTTTGAAGAATAAATAAATCTTTAATATGTGAAGAGTTACCCTAACAAATAATGCAGTAGCTTAAACTAGACTGAACATAACCAAAGTAATACATTTTTAAATTTTCCAAATCTACAAATTTGCCTTAACGCCAAAGAACAAAACAATGTTTTGCCAATTTATTCAATAATTCGTTAATATGATTTAACCAATATAACTTTGAATCCAATAGGACTCCCAAAAATTTTACTGTAGCATTTTGTTGAATAGTTTTGTAGTTAAATTTGACTAATATACTATGATTTATTTCTTTAGTACTGAACACGATTAGATCAGTCTTTGTGCCATTTAAAGCTAAATTATTATTTTTACAATAATTTTGCATTCTAATCAAACACTTGATGCAAGGCCACTAAGTGCCGCAATAGATTCCGATTTAACCGCCACAAAAGTGTCATCTGCGAGCATTGTTACAAATCTTTTTGAGTTAGCAATAATTTCAATGATATTAATAAAAAGTAAAAACAAAAATGGGCCTAAAATACTCTCTTAAGGGACACCTAATTGAATATGCCTCGGTCGTGAAAAATATTGAATACCATTGATATTTAAAAGAACTTCTTGAGTTCTTCCTTGTAAATAGCTATTAAGCCAGTTCAGCGCACAACCTCTTATGCCATACCTTTCTAACTTGCTTAATAAAAGTGTATCATCAACTACATCGAATGCCCTGTCAAATCAAATAGTATGCATGCGCATTTGTCTATTTTCTAATGCATTTAATATAAAGCTATATAAAGATAAAATTGCATCTTGTGTCGCCAAACTTTTTCTAAATCCGAACTGATTTTTATTAATTATGTTATTATTTTCTGTGAAACTTAATATTCTTAAATAAAATGCCCTTTTAAATATTTTCGAAAATACAGAAAGGAGTGCTATTCCTCGGTAATTAAATATTAAATCTAATTAAATCTAATAACTAAACTTATCATTCTTTTTATGGATAGGAATAATTACAGCTTTTTTTAATATAGAAGGGAAATGTCCTTGTGTAAAAGATAGATTGATCAAACTAGTCAAAGGAACGGATATAAATGAGATTATTTTATTAAGAATAATAATAATAAATAAATTAAAAATTAAATTAAATAAGTAATAATAATAATATTGTGCATGGAATGCTATCAAAACCCGCCGAATTTTTTGTGCAAACTTTCCTAATTATATTACTTCTATTTCTGTAAAAGGGAACAAGAATATGGAATTAGACACAAAAGGGATGTCTAAATTCACATCCATTTGAAAATTTGTATCATTTAAGCACATGGCCGAATCAATAAAGAAATTATTAAATGCATCTGCGGCCTTATATAAGTTTGAAATATTGTTCCCATCATCATCGTGATAGCTTTAACAAATATTACTATTTAAAGTATTACAATTATTTTTAATAATGTTCTAAGCTGCTTGAGATTTGTTAGAAAAATTCAATATCTTATTACCAAAATATGTTGATTTTGCCACAATAATTTTGTGTTTATGAATTTTTTTTAGTCTTATAGCGCAATTTTAATTCGCTATCATTAGTACACCTGTATATATTATATAATTCTCTTAACATAATACCCTCATTAATGATTTCCAGTGTCACCCATGGGTTTGTCTTCATCTGAGATGTATTCTTATTTTTACACAGTTCCACAGGAAAGGCTTTATCAAATGCATTCAAAATAACCTTATGAAAAAATTAAAATTTTTCATCAAGTGAGATATTTAAATCTAAAAAATCCCATCTGACTTTTGCTATCAAATGCTATATTTATTGGCTTGTCACTAATTGTAAGTCACTTAAAATAATAAGAGTCTGGCTTTTGAACACTACATTCAAAAATGGAAAAAGAAACCTGTTGTAAATGATGGGCTGAAATATCACATTTTATATTTTGCGGGTTCAATATATTAATATCCATACTCGAAAAGATATTGTCAATTATTGTCTTCACCTCATCTACTTCCCTGGTTATATTAATTAATATACCTATAGAAAAATCAAGACAACTGTAAAACAAATGTGTGAATAACCTATGTTAACACTATTATACCTGTCAAATGTGCTTTGCTTCAAAAAATGGATATAAGCTAAGTCCCATTTTAATGTACCAGGCCCCATAATTTTTTTATTTCGACTTTTTTAAAAAAATATTTCGAACAAAAGTTATCAGGTTTCGAGGGGGTCAAATTATGATGATCTTGAATTTGACCTTGAAGTCTATTATCAAGGTCATTTCAAAGTCGACCTTGGAAAAATATTTTCAACAAAAATTATCAGGTTTTGATGGGATAAAATTATGGTGACCTTGAAATTAACATTAGAGTCAATTATCAAGGTCATTTCAAAGTCAATCTTGAGTTTTTAATTGAAACCCCATATTTTTATTACAGTTATATATTCTTTTTCCGCAGAATACGAAATTGTTATAAAAATATGGGTTTCCATTTAAAAAATCAAGGTTGACCTTGAAATGACCATGATGATGATGACTTTGAGGTTAATTTCAAGGTCACTGTAATTTTATCCCCGGAAACCTGACAACTTTTGTTGGAAATATTTTTCATCATCCTGCTTATTTCTTGAGAATCACCTGAGAATTAAAATAGAACAGTAAAAGTATACTGCGTTCTGGCGAGGAACAAAGCATTAAAAAAAATGGTTCATGTAAAATTACATATTTTTTCCCGCAGAATAGGAATCAGCAATAAAAAATAAGGGGTTCCATTTAGAAAATCATGGTTGACCTAGAAATGACGTTGATAATTTATTCAAGGTCACCAAAAGTTGACCCCCTCGAAACCTGATAACTTTTGTTCGAAATATTTTTAATAAAAGTTGAATTATAAAAATTATGCGGCCTGGTACATTAAAATGGGACACCCTGTAAGCATCTTTGAGGCTATATTGTGGTGCTATTGTTCAGAAATTTCTTTCATTAATAGAAATTTGCTTACTGTTTTATTGCATAAATGCATGTTATGCATTACAAAATTAAAAAAAAACAGCATGATTCTTTTCTTTTCTACTTATCAGTTAACCTAACTAAATGAAAAATTTCAAAACTAGATAAATGTCATTGTCCTGAGCACAGACCGCTTTTTTAAGAATATTAAATAATATATATTTCACATTTTATATATTTTTTTATTTGAAATCGATGCAACATATAAACATTTTTTGTATTGAAACTGTGCGTGAGAGAAAACCAATCAGATAAACAGTGATAAATGTATTTAGACACATAATGTAGGGTAGGACATTAAAATTTTTTTCTTACAACTCTTTCCAGAATTTATCAATTCAGATGCCAATTGCACACAATCCAAAACTATTAGGTAATCCAGAATCTTTAATTTCTCCGGCACGTCATCTGCTACCTGCAAACAGAAATCCGTGGGGCCCTATACAACCTGCAACTGTACCGCCAGATCCATCTGAATTACCTATGCCTGATAAATTAATCTCAAAAGGTAAGTTTATTCTAAGGTAATTTTAAGCGGATCTTTAAAATATGAAACACCTTTTAAATTGATTAAAATTTTATTGTTCGTTCTACAAAATCTGAAATATTATGCTGTTTAAAATTACTACCATATTTTTGTCTGCATTTTTATAAAAATGGTATTATGTGAACATTTTTTTTTAATTGTTAGAAAAAGTTACATAAAATAAAATAATTGATAGTTGTTTTTTTGCATTAGAAGTACCTGGGGTGGTTTCTAGGGATTAGGTGGGTTAGGGGGTAGGCATGTTAGCCCGCTTGTGGTGCGAAATTTAATTATTTCAAGTAAAATAAGCGACTAAACTTGCTATTCCCAGGATTATGTGGGTTAGCCTGCTTGTGCTTTGGTAGGGGTGGTTTCTAGGGGTTAGGTGGCTTTATTTTGGAACCCGTGAAGTTTTGGGCTTTGCGCCCTTGAAGACATTTGTTCAGGACACAGATACGTAACATATAAAAAAATTCAACCAATTTAACCGGGAGCCATTTTCCATAAGGTTTGTGCGGGTTCCTTCCATTTAACTTTTCCTTAAGTATTTCTTATACATAACATAAACTATTACTATTTACTATATCAGAAATGAGTGTAAAAAATTTAGAGGGTGATAGAACATTGAAAATTGAGACAATTTTTTTTCTGTGGATCGTAGATCTTTCAAAAGGAAGTAAATAGGCTTAGGTCCACGGAGGCCTGGGCCTAGGGCAGCAAAATTTCAGAGGGTACTAAAATTTCAGAAGCGAAATATCTTTCTAATACTTGATTCTACGATCATAATCGTCTTCACTCAATTCTTGTAACAAATGAATTTTATATGGATGTAATTTTACCCGTTTGCAAATTTTTTAAATGGAGTATCGACGATGTTATGATTTAAAGTTCTCTGTTGTGTCGAATTTTTTAAATTTTCCACCACATCCAACATAACATTCAAAGAATTTTCCTTTGTTTCTTTTCTTTCATTTGTAACTTTTACTGGTCTTCCACTTTTTCGTCGCTTTGTAATCCGGGCGAATTAGACCAGACACATGCATGTTTCAAAAATCGGGCCTAAGTCGAATTTTATGGGCTGAAAATTAAGTAAAAAATACACAGAATAAAAGCTTAAATTCGTGTATTTGTAGAGGTCGACCGCCATATTGTTTATAACAAAAAAAAATTGCCCTTTTTTCAGTTTTTCGCTTATATCTTTGAAAATAAGCCTCTAATCGACATGAGGTATTCTTAAGATTTTGTTCCTGAGGAAATTTGCTACAAGGATAGGTTTTTGCGAGAGATCGCAATTTTTTTTTTTTTCATTTCAAAATTAGCAGTGAAATAAAAAAAATGCAAAATTTTTAGAATTAAGTAAAAAGAACAAATTTGACTGAAATTAGATGAAACTCCAGGAAAAGCCGCAATTCGGACCCCCAATTTCAAAATAGCGGCCTATTGCAAAGTGATAAAGTCGAAATGCGAGCACTTATATCTTCTGTCCAAGTCAAGATATTTCAAATTCGGTAAAAAAGGATCGAAAGGTAATTACATTATCTCGCATTTGTGTAAATGTCAGAATGTTAGGTTGCAAAATAAAAAAATTATTAACAAAAAACAAAAAAAAAACAGTAACTAGGGTCCTTATCTCGGCGGTTTTTTAATAAACAGATTTCAAACCAGTTTCATCAAATAGTGCTTAAAAAATATGAATTTAAAAAAAAGCATCTTGATCCGACCAATAAGAGCTGAAATATATACAGGGTGGTCCCGAGGTAATGGGCCAAAATTCATGGGTAGATTCCCCACGCAAAAATATTGCGATTTAGCCGAACTTATCTTAGTCCAAAAGTTGATAGTTAAAGAGATACAGGGTGTTAAATGTAAAATATTATTTTAGTTTATTTCCATTTATTTCTTAAAAAATGCAAATATCTACACAAAATTTTGGGGTTTGGGGTTCTTTGGGTAGAGGAATTGAAATTTGTTCACATTTTGGTTATAGTTCATAGAGGGCGCCAGCTGCCGTAGATTGAATGTCTTGAAAACGACAACTTTTTTGTACTTTAAGATATCTTCGGCTAAATCGCAATATTTTTGCTTGGGAAATCTACCCATGAAATTTGGCCCATTACCTTGGGCAAATGGATTGTGGCACTTAGAAAGCAGCTACCGGGATGCCTTTCTTTAAATCAACTTATTTTTTCCATTCTTTCGAATGGTTTAAGCAAAAGTATGTGAAAGTCATCGCCAGACCCCGAAAATAGATTTTTATTGATTTTTCACGTTTTTTTTTGTAATTTCATTATACTTTCGATATTTTGACAAGTAAGAAGGTCCTTTATTTACGTATTTAAAAACAAAAGTCAATTACTCCATTGAAAAAAGAGATCAGTAGGTAGGTACTCTTTTTGTCATGCTCAGAAGAGGTTGACGTAGAAAATATTCTCTTAAAATTAACTGTTGCAGTTATTGTGTAAATTGGGTCTAGAACATTATTGAATGTTACAATATCATTACATTTAAGTACTGCATTTTATAGTATTTAAAAGAACTGTTGTCTTTTTAATTTTTATAAGAATATTAAAAGTAAAATAAATATTTAATTTATAATACCTATATTTTAGACTTCGATGATTTTGCCATTTTGCCACATTCAAACTATGTGCTCTACAACGTAAACCATTAACTTATAGAAAATTTCATCGACTGCGGGCGGTAATATCAGAGTGGGACTAGGGCGCCATCGTAATCAAATCCCCCTTTAAGCCCATTCATTTCCAAACACCCTATACATTAAGGAATAGAAGCTGGTTGACTTTGGGGTGGTCAGTTGCATTTTTTTTCAAAATATGGTGAGGGATCTTAAGAATACATTATGTAAAAAGGAATTTTATATTGTACCTAATATAACCTAATCTAACCTCAAAAAAGTTATACAAAATGTCACTGGGAGAGATAGCAGCTAGTATCTCCTTGTAGATAGATGGTTGCTGAAAAACTAACAGGTGGCGTATTTAACACCATTAAAAACTTGACGGAACCACATTTCAAAGCAATAATTTTTTTATAAACGTGATGACGTAAAGTCGATAAGGTTAACACAATATTTTGTTATCTAAAATACTAATCCTGGAAAGTCGAGAATGCAATCATGTATTGGTGAAAGTAACAAAACTGTTTTGATTAAATAAAACTTTCATATTCTCGGTACCTACAATAAGAAAATATAAATTTATATTTATAAAAAATATAAATACGTTTTTATAGTGCCATAAATACTAAAATAGAACAAAACCAAACAATAACAAATTATTATTTATAAAAAGTAATATAGGAAAACTAAATATTACAAAGAATGCAATATTTTATTTTTACTCTTTATATAACATTTCAATTAATAGTCCAACTGTAGCATGTCGGGCATGAAATGGGTTTATAAATTACCGTCAAATAAATAAAAATCTCTGAATTATTCATTTCATTGTGGCCGATGGCTGATATTTTAAAATGTATAAAGATACATTATTAACTTAATGGAAATTAATGTTAGAAAATGAAGTCTGTTTGTGTGTGTAAATTTCTCTCTTATGAGAACTCCAAGTGAAAAAATGTGTGTAAGGCACACTGTGTTTCTTAAGGTTTTCACCCTTAACAGTTTATTAATTTAAAATTAAATGACAATGTGTAGGTGCTTTTGCATATACAGTGTTCCTTAATTAGAGTACACAAAACTGGTGTTTTTAGTTTTTGAAATATATTAAATAGATGCTTTTGTTGCCAAGAGCATGAGATTCACTTTTGAATATTCAAAAATTTTAGAAACAATTTTATCAAACATTTCAAGAACATATGTCCTTACTTGGAAATTTAAAAATTATCTAATGCATAAATGTTTAATATTTTAATTCAATTAAATTTTTACATATATTGGAGTTTAATATAAGTTGAGGACATTTTCAGGGAAAATCTCCATTGTTCAGTAAAATTCTATTGCCCTAAATTAACAAGTCTCTTTGTGCATATGCCTTGAAATAATCAATAAAGTTACATTTGTCCAAAAAAAATTGACAATTGAATGTGTTATTATCGGTTGTGATCTGAAGTTGCCGAGCAGAGAAATACCTCGGAATTAAAATTGAATTGAAAATGTACTGCTCCGTACTTCATCATCACAAATGAGCTTTATTTTTATTATAAGATGGAAATGACTGTTCATTTTCATTAAGGAGGTTTATCTGATTTGGAATTGACGAACAAATATTCATAAAAAAATTAATATAAGCTTATTAATTTGAAGGAAATCCTCAAAAAAATTATGACTAGTTTGGATACCTAAGACGAGATATTAATAAAATAAATTTTCACGATTTAGTACAGTCTTATGAGAATGCAGATTGTTTTGGTCTTTCCACTTAGAATACGCAACAATTGACAAACACTTTCCACAGCAACTTGTATAAATAGGAAACCGATATCTAAGGAATCGTATGACAGCTTGTAGAAATTGATTAGGTACTTGTAAGATACATCTAATATATAAAATTCTCGTGTCGCGGTGTTTGTTGCCAAACTCCTCCGAAACGGCTGGACCGATTTTGATGAAATTTTGTGTGTTTATCGGGCAGGTCTGAGAATCGGTCAACATCTATTTTTCATACCCCTAAATGTTATGGGTGGTCCACCCCAAATTTTTTTTTTTATTTTTTGGACAAAATTTTTTGTTTTTATTTTTTCATGATTCAGCATTGAAAGATACAAACAATTCTAAATTTTCACCCTTATACGATGAACCCCTGATTTTTAATTGTGATTTTTATATTATTCTGTTCCATCCACAGATCCACAAGATGGCAATCGAATATAATAATTGTAGTATACTATAATTTCAGTTATCCCCGCCAGGTATCTCACGTCACTTCTCAACCAGCAAACATTACGGAGTAGGGATGAGAACGAAGCCGACTTCCTTTCTCTCTCACTCTATACAGTTTTCGTCCATTTTTTCTTTTGGTTTTATTTGTGTCTCGATCGTAGCAGTGACTGTTATACGTATCATTTTAATTTTTCAGTGCAACTCACAAGTTAATTTTATTCTCATAGTGAATTTATCATTATTTCTCAGTGCTATTATTATTTATTTACATTTTATTAATAATTAATAAAGACAGTTTTCACTTCTAATTGAATAAGCAATCTGATATAAATCAACACGTGTTGTGAACTCCCGACAACAATGGCCGTTATTTACCGGTATATATTATACTTAACATTTTGTCGAAATAGTTTTAAATTAAAACAGAAACTTTTACGTGTTTAATAAATATATGTGTTTTATTATTGTGAAAGGTAAGTCAAATAATAATAATAATAATAATAATAATAATAATCGATGGTAGGTTCTGCGGCTACCATGGTTGTAACGGGTAACGGGGAATCAGGGTTCGATTCCGGAGAGAGAGCCTGAGAAACGGCTACCACATCCAAGGAAGGCAGCAGGCGCGCTAATTACCCACTCCCGGTACGGGGAGGTACACCATGCTTTTCCCACGGACAACTATATGAGGCATGTTCTCGCGTGGGCAAACCATCCAGTTTGTTTATATTCGCTAAAGACGGACTGACCAAAAATATTGTACACTCCATTGCGTTGAGAGATTAATCTTTGTTTATTTTTTAATTGCTATAATTAGTAGTAGAAATATGAACTATTTTCGATGTATAGATAGTTATCAATAATTGTAATTTAATATATATTTGTTACTTTAATAAAGAATAATTTATTAACTTAAATAAAGTATACTTTAATTGTCTACAACGCTTCATTCTTCTTTCAATTACATCCCCACACACTTATAGTGTTAGTTATTTTTAAAAATATTTCCTAAAAAAAATATTTCCTAGAAATAATGTATATGGCAAAACAACGTTTGCCAGGTCAGCTAGTAATTTATAATAATTCTCATTCAAACTGCTGTCGTTGACTAACTTATCCTCCATAAGCGTGATAGCGGCAACGCCGCGGTCTCGACGTAGCGTATTATTTGAAATTTGCAGGTGTCCAAACAAACAGCACGATCGAACGGGAACGAGCGAACGCCGAGCAGAGCGTACCAGCCAAGTGCAAGGTTGCCAAATCTAAAGGCTTACTACTTTAGTCGCTAGCGAATCTACAAAAACTTTCGTTAGACTTTAGACATACCTCCGTACCCGATAAACCTCCTTAAACAAAACTAAGGTTGTTTCACACATAACACTTCAAATATAAACAATATTGAAGAATCTAAGTAGAAATAACTTTTAATTTTATTCAATTATATTTAAAAAAAAATTGATATAGTGTAGCATTTAAACTTTTTTTCAGGTAGTGGCATGTCTGATGATTCAGCAGATTCGGGAGTAAACATTAAATTAGAGAATTCCCCATCAGATAATGAAAATGATATATCTACTGAAAATCAACTTTATGGTAAGACACAAATAAATTGTAATGTGCAAAAGATAAAGGCAAGAATAGTATATTACACCACAAGGGCCAAAAGTTGAATTTTCTGCGCTGCGCATCATGATGAGCAGGACCGAGATTTCAACTTTTGGCCCGTGTAGTGTATACGATTTTTCTTCATAGCCGGTCGAAACTACGTTATTAATTTTACTTTTTTTAACTTTAGAGGTAGCAACAGTAATGACAGCGATTAACAATTTGTTATAGCGACATAATAAATAGTCCCTAATTACGAGTATAAATACGCATGCGAAATTCTTTCCTCCAGCCGTTATAGAGGACGCGCGTGTACTTCTCACAGGGAGTAAAGGCCGATTCTCATTAGACGAGCAAGGAACCGGATCGGCATCGGCAGGGCACATGCTCAGCACAGGCCGAGTTTTCAGAGACCATTCACACTGCGACAGGCATGCCGCAGGTAGTATTTCCCTAGCTTTGTGAAAAAATGTTCGTGACTTCCACTCTGGTAAAAATTGTTCTAATCTTAGATGAAGAAGAGCAAGAAAATAAAAATTTCCGAAAAAGAAAAATACGTTTTTTTAAATTACAAAATTTTATTGTTAAGAAATCGTGATTTTTTTAATATGTCTGTATAGATTAATACATATTTAATAAATATACCTATCTTGTTGCAATTTCTCGCCAATTTTTTTACATATGTTTTTGTAGACATTGTCCGAGTATTTTTTATGAGACAAATCGTAAATAACCTCATTTTCTCTGATATACTCAATAAGAATTTCACCTTTTTCTGATGAAAAAGGGAGCCTCTGCTGACGCTCCATGTTTTCTTGTCAATACGAAACTCAACTAAACTATGATTGCACGTTGACTGCCTGGAGAGTATTCACACTTATCGGAACATGCACGGCACATGCCCTGCAAATATTCTTTCAGAAGAACGTCGCGTGCAAAGTCTGTTGCTTGCCGAGACGCTGCACGTATAGTGTGAATTACACCCCTCAAAACCCATAAGACACAATGGTTAAGATATTTTGCCGAGCCGGTGCCTTGCATGTGCCGAGCACATGCCTTGCACGCAAGTGAGAATCGGCCTTAAATGTTAAACTTTCGTCCCTTTTATTAGGGACGAAAGTACGTACTATCGACCGAGGTATGAAGAAAAATTTTTTTAATGATTTAATCGAGACATTTAAAACGATTTTATTAATTTATTCATTTTATTTGAAAACTTTCCTACCATGAATATAAACAAAAACATATATATGGAGTTGTTGGTTTTGGAATGTTTTAGTAGCAATGCTGTCAGATTCTCCAGGTACCAAAGATTGATGTTTTGTGCTCGTCATTACACTTATACAAACCATATGATCACTCCTGTATCATTTTAGTGTTAGTGTCATTATATTAGATAAGTGTGACATAGGCTAATTTCTATGCAAATTACTTTTTTTTTGTAACTTTCAGTTTAACCAGAAGTAGCCATAATTATATGATACCATTTATCAGAACATAACTTTTATATAATATTTTATATATTTTAATTCTTACAGTTTGAAGACGTAACTGTGTGGAATCGCCATACTACGAGTTTGTCTTGGCAAAGAAATTAATAATTACAGAATGGTTTTGAAATTTTACTAATTCGACCGACTAGTATTACGAAACCTATGTGATCTACCTGATTTTGACAATTCACACATACTGTGCTTGTTGCTTTTATTATTACTGCAAAAGGGTAAAACTTTTACCTACAACCACTACTGTAAATACTTAAAAACACACCGTCTGCGATCAATGTAAGATTCCTATTACGTACGGTAAAAAAATCGCACAATTTTCCTAGCAACCGCCTAGCAACGGTCAATACAATACTGTTTGTATTGAACGTTACTAGGCGGTTGCTAGGAAAACTGTACGATTTTTTTACCAAGCTGTGCGATTTTTTTATCGTACGTGAAATAGGAATCTTACATTGATCGCAGACTGTGTGTTTTTAAGTATTTACAATAATGATCGTAGGTAAAGTATAGTACGTAATACGTGGTGTAATGCAATTATGTACTCATAGAATTACGCACTCGCCGCTACGCGGCGTCGTGCGTAACTTTTCCATTCGTGCGTAAAATGCTTTTTCCAACACTTATTACGTAATATACAATAATGTGCAAATATGATGATTATACACATATTATTTTTGTTAACGGCTTTTGCAATAGTAATGCTTAAGAAAGTTGTTGCTAGTATCAAAGATTTGTGAATAGATATCAGCCGCCTCTGTGTATTTTCCGATGCTTTTCAAAGACTGACAGTGTAGATTGCTAATTGTCATACTAGTGGTGTAAATCTACAATACAATATTGAACAGAACAAAGAGATAATTGATGCAGCGCTGGATGAACCAAGTATTAGTACAAGAAGAGTTGCTGCCCTATACAAGTTTCTCAAAATTTGCTTGGAAGGTTTTATATAGACAAATGTTGCACCCTTACCAATATCAATCTGTCCATCACTTATATCCAGGAGATGAAGTGTGATAATGAGCATTTTTATGATAGTTTCTCGAACACAAACGAAATCTCAATTATCTTAGTTCCAATTTGTGGTCCTACACCTGCACAGCCAATCTTGATGCGAAAGCTTACGAAGGTAATGGAGGCTAGCCTCCACTGAGAAAACCATCTGAATCTATGTAGCAAAGAGAAATAAAAGTGTGTGGCCTTATATATCAGATATTTAAGATCTATAGAGGAGCATCTATATTTTTGGTGGATTATAAATAGACTACATTTAATTTTTTACAGAACTGGTCCATATTATAGTTGTGAAATTAGTAAAAATAAACAATTGTTAATTATGTATTACCAATTATTAAAAAAAATTATATAAATCAAATTGATTCAAAGAGACTTAGCCTTCCCTTCCTCATTTGCTGCCACTGATGGACACATATTACTGACACCTGTACCATAGAGGCTGAAATAAACTTAGACCCTGTTTTACCTTCCGGTTGCTAAATAAAAATATGAAAATATATATATTTTAGCTTCGTTTGTTTTTTAATTATATTAATATTTTTGTGTATAAATTGGTGAACTATACTTTTCCATAAAATACAAATATCTGCACTTGTTCTCTAATTTATATTATTTTTTAGGGGGTACCAGGAAACCAGCTTTTGCAACATTTTTGAATTTCAATAATTAGACCAAAAATTTTTGAAAGAACAACAAAACAAAGGTAATTAAGATATGACTGTTTTGAGGACTGTATTATAGAAAATGTAATTTGAATTTAAAAAAGAATTTAAAAAATATATATTTTTTTAAGCAGCTAAAAAAATTTTTAGTAATTTTAAATAATACAGATGTTCCTGAAAATAGTCTGTCTAACTTCTTTAAATATATCTTTATGTTAAATATTTATATTAAGGGTTTAGAATAACTTCATCATGTTTTAACGTACAAAAAAATAAGACCAAGTTTTATAACATTCCCTGTTAATTATTTAATGTCTGTGATTGTATAATTTTAAATTAGAATTAAGTATGGTTTTTATTGTTAAAAGTTGGTAACATTGTCATCTTATACCAATACCTACTGATAATAAAATTATATTTTTATTGTATAGGCAACATACAACATTCAATAATGTTACCAACTTTAAATGTACATTTTGTATTAATACTATTGTCGTGTGTATTGTTGAATAATTTGTTTTTTGTAAAAACAATTTAATGATTTTTGCAATATTTATGCAATATCTACTTTATATTATGTTAAATTTTACGTTTTAATTATTTTACTATATCTGTGACTATTTTCTGTAGGTGTAAAATTTAAAAATAGTATTTTATCTGTACTTAAATAGTTTGAAATAATTTTTTGTGAAGTGTACCCGAATGAATTTGTTGATTAAATAAATAAATTTGTACTTTTTCATTAGCTATTTTCTTTACATAAATCAAATAAATAGTGCACTGTGGCGAACAAAGTGCTCACTATACGTGAACACTTGGTATAAAAAGTTTTCCATAAGCCGGGATATATTCTCGTACTACAGGGTGCGGCACGATAACTTCCTTATTTCATAATGCAATAAAACAAAAAGTAGTAAAGATATATTTTCAATTTTTTTTTTATTAAAAAGTTAAATACCATATCGAGTAAGTGACGCCCCCTCCCCCATTGTCGATATACTAGTTGAACCGAATTCTGCTGTTTACCGAGATTGCGCACGAAACGGTGACACATGGTGAATGCAAAGGCGTCTGATGCAGTTCTTGGGGCTTGTTGACAGCCCAGTAGCGCATATTTTGCTTATTGACATATCCAGTCAAATTAAAATGAGCCTCATCAGTAAAAAACACAAGCGCGTCTTAAAGAACTCGCGTCTGGAAAGTTTCTGCACAACTTGTATGGATGGAAATGAAGTTCATCGCCCATAATTCGCCTCATGGAACGATCGGAAATTCTAAGAGCAGACGCATGTTTGCGCGCCGAACGCCGCGGAGATCGCAAAACTGCAACCCTTAGTTCTTCAATATTCTCAGGTGTTCTGATGGAACATGCATCTTCAGTTCTTTTCTGCACAGAACCAGTTTCCCTGAACGGTGTGACACAGAAAAGAATTGATTTCCGGTCCTGGACAGGACATAATGGTGCAATATTGAAGCGATTTCGGAAGGCTGGGTTAAAACCACCGAACAGCCGTTGGAAAAGTACGCCTCTACGTTCCAAACAAAATTACTGGTCATGTGACTTCTAATCATTAATGAAAGCTTTCTTTTGACTTGGACTAAGTTTGTCATTGCTCTAACTCTCCAATATTCAACACCTTCAATTGAGCACTCCTTTATTTATTGGTTTTCAATAAGGGTAGACTAAAGAATGGATTACAAGGTGATTGATGAAATATAATTATTATAAATTTTACATTTGTATGTCATTCAAATGATAAAAAAAAATTAGTTACACAGAAAACAGTAAAATAATGATCTTCATAAATATACAGGGAGTATATTAAGCACTTGTACAAACTTTAAAGGGTGAATCTTTGACTAATTTTAAGATAAAAATTTAGCATGGGTCCGCAAAGGCTTGATACAGGGCATCCAAAAAATATTTTTTTTTTAGTATTTTGATTGTATTTTTGTTTCTGCGATTTTTTTTTATAATTTTCAATAATTTGGTGATAGTAATTTATACAGTGATAGTGTAACATAACACATGACTCTTTCACTTCTTTCAAAAACTCAATGATTCAAGTTACAAAATTCCAACGCAGGTTTAACTTTAAACCGCTTTTTTTTACAAAACGGCTGCTTTCAATGACTAATACTAAGAGTACCTTTTGTACGTAAAATTGAATGGATAATAGGTACGTTTAGTCAAAAATGACATACAATGCGACAAATAAGTTATGGTTATTTAAATGCAGGCACAACATTGTATTGTATGTGGCACCCTCTAATTTTAAACAAAAAACTAAGTAAATATTTGTTTCTCATCATCGAGACTACCATCCTGATAATTTCTTTCTGCAAGTGGAAGCATATTTATTATAAATAATAGTTTTGTAACCACTTTATTGTAATATTATTTGTATGAACTAAGCTAAAAAAATATTAGAAATCTCTTAGGGATTATTAATAAAAAATATGTTTAAACTAATAAGTGAAATAATTTGAAATTGGGCACATGTATTTATGTAAACATTGTCCAAAATCTGAGGGCTTTTCCTAAAATTTACATACTCCAATGGCAGAGATACAGGGTATTGGTGGCATATTTTTCTAAATAAAATAGTATGCCACTCCTTTACGGTAACAACCATGATATTTTCAGATTCGTCTTACAATTTTCTACAAATTACTACTTTCTTTGTTTTTCAAAAAAAAGCCTCGATATTAACCAAGCGTGGCTTTTTTAGTTTAACGTTCAAGTTATCTAAAAATATTATTTTTGTGCCTATCGTAAAGGGAGTAAAAAAAATTGATATTATTGTGCTACAGCTAGTCCATCCCTGGCAAACCAAATAAGCCAAATTGTTTATTTAAAAAATAAAGTCTAGTTTCAGCGACCTGTATCTCGAAAGGGGGACCTTCTAGGGAAAATTTTTATAGGGAGGTACATGTTATTTTAATGTACCCTGTATAAATACGAGAGATTGCGCACATATTCTGTGACACCCCGTTTTCATTGTAGTGGTGAAATTTGGCTTATTCTTAAAAAAAATGGAAAAAACACCATTTATGCAATAAAATTATAGTAAATTAAATGAATGTTATTTCACTCTTTTTTAAGGGATTGTTTTAAATAGACCACTTGATTACTACATTTTATTAACTGTTCAATTTTTCATACCTACATTTTGCAATTTACATACTAATTAAAAAAAAAACATGTATTTACTCAGTGACTTGACTTTTAGTTCCACTTCCAACTGGTCCATGCCTCCGTTCCCAAATTAAACGATGCTTCTGTTTCATATAACATGTTTTAGCATCATGATATGCTCCTAAATCACCATCTGGAAAATTGTCTAATAAATGTACCAGAAGAATATAAATAAACTTTTTACCATACATTTAATAAACCAGTTAGTAGCTGCCTCTTCATATATTTTAAGGAGAGGCGTACATTTTTCTACATGATCTGGTGCTTCATACATTACACAGTCCTCAAAACGTTCACGTAAAATAGACAATATTTCAGAATCAACATGTCTAAAATGATTACATAATAGTTAATATTTTTTTATACCGACAGTATCAATACATTACTTATCACGTTTGTACTGAAAATTGGCTTCATATTGGCAAACTACATCATCAGTGTAGCATTCATCTATAGTAGGTACCCTCCGGAATTTTTGATGGTACCAAGGGTAGCTTTGTTGATTTGGTTTCACAACATTTTCTAAAATAAGGTTATAATAGACATTTCAAATATAATGTTCTCTTTAATTTTACAAAATATTTAAACAAAATTTTATATACAAAAGGTAAATATTACAGGTTATAAAATGTTACCTCTAACCCAAATAGTCGGAGCTTCTAAAATGTTTCCAACTGCGGAGAAAAATTTTTCCACGATATTTCTAGGCTGAGCTTCAGGCATTATACTAATATCAAAGAAAATTGATGTAAACCAAAAACTGTCGATCGATGTCAAATTAAAATGTTTTTGATCTTTTTCAAAATTATTGAAGAATGTCTAATTTTATTTATACCGTGCTTATACCATACCACGGCAACCACGGTCCGTAAAGAGAAGGTCGCCGCATAGTCAATCAGCCAATAAAAAACAAATACGTCACCATATACCTCAGTTTATCTTCGTTCAACCGTCTTGAACCGTCTAATATAATATAGACGTTATGGCTGTCCAGGACCCCTATTCTTGACACCGATAGAATAAAATACTCCCTGGGGAACGTTCCCAACTTTCATTCTATTACTGTTCTATTAGTAGGCAAAATTGGTATTCACGAAACTAGAGGAAGGAAGTCGAAGGAAGAAAGAATGAAACAAGGTTGCCAAATCTTCTAACCAATCAAATTTATATATTATTTGACAGATATACATTTATTTTGAGTTATTCCACAATCCATAGCACTCTATGGTATGTGGTTGGTATTGAAGTGAACTGTGAACTAGCAACTAACGAGAGAATAAATACTGAATACCTAACCTACAAACATAATATCAAATATTTATTAGTTTGTTAGATAAGTGTCTTTTGCTCTTTTGTAATGGAAAATATAAAGAAAGGTGGTGGTTAAAGCAACCCAATAAATCAGAGGCAGAAAGAAATCCTAGTAGATTTCATTTCTGGGAGACCAGAAATGTATTCCGGAAAACTGACCCCAATATATACAAAAGATAAAATGCATGCACTTTGGTCCGAGGTGACTAATATATTAAATAGTGTTCCGGGTGGACCAGCAAAAGACTGGAAACAATGGAGAAAAGTAAGTGTTTATATACATTAAGAGTAGACAAAAGCCATATACTATAGTTGAGTTTTATTTCTAGAGCTGGGTAGATCTTAAGAAAAATACCAAAGAAAAAGAGTCTCAAAAACGAAAATACATGCAAGGTACTGGAGGAGGACCACCTTCATCACCACCCTCTAAAACAAAAAGTAACATCGATGAAAAAATTTTGTCAATAATAAATCCCACATCCATTACAGGCAATGATAATGTTACGGTATCAGAGGTGCAATTTGATGTCATTGAGCCCTTAGATGAATCTGTGGTTTTTGATGGAGTAAGTATCTGCAGAATTTTGTACTTTCTATACAAGCACTTATTTATACTGATACTTCTCATGTAGGTATGATTCATATTGTCACTTAATACAAATGATTAACTGAATTATGAAATAATCATTTTTACTGCCAATTCATATAATTATTGAAGTAACCTTTAAACATTGTAATAGTAGTTATTTTGTAATTAAAACAAAAATTAACTTTTGCTGATCTAGAATGTAACTTTTTTTTTAAGCGGACTGTAATGACCGAAACTGAAGAAACGGTCCAGAATTCTGATAAGTTTGATAATTTAATGGATCAGGACCACGTATATTGTAGTATTCCAGGTACTTCTCAACAGCCATCCACTGCAGAAATACAAGTTGAGAACCAGAATTCATCAACATTTTTATCTACCCCAGGCTTTAAGCGAAAACGATTCACTAAAACTGCAAGGCTAACAGAATCAATGAAGAACAATGATATGCTCCTAAAAATAAATAAAGAGAATTTAGAATCACACAAAATCTATAGAGAGAAAAAAATTGAAATTTTACTTTGTGATTCAAAAAAAAGAGAAACCTACTGGAAAAAAAAGTTAATGATTCTAGAATCGATCGGTGATAGCCTCAACCAAATGGTAGATCATAAAGATAATACAAATTCTGTTACATTCTACCATTATGATGACAAAAATAAGTGTTAATTGTGTAATATGCCTAAATAAAAATCAGAGCAAGCGCAACAAAAAGTGACTGATGCAATCTAGTTTTTTTTGTGTTCAAAGTATCTGTACTCGTGATATTAAGTTTCTTAATTAAATAATGTGATTTATGAGTGTTTCCAAAGATTATAATTAAGTTTGTGATTAGTTTTGTTAATAAAATACCTATTATGTTTTTTTTATTTATTGTTTAAATATTTATAATGCTATTTTATGATTGTATTAGATTATAGTTCGACAAATAACAAATGAAATTATAATGTTACAAATTCTCTTGTAAATATTTAAAATTGTCGCATTGAAAAAAATATTTATTTACTTGGTTGAGTGATTTCTGGGCTGGTTGCCACGTCATCGGTTTAAAAAAAGTATTTTTTTTCTGAATAACTTCTGAAGAAGAGATTGATATGTCTCTCGAAACGTCGAGTTGTAAATCGACGACGTGGCAACCAGCCCGGAAATCACTCAACCATTAACGACAGCCATGGAAGCCTATAAACAAAATTATTTCCTTATTTTAAAAAAGTAAAAGTAAACAAATTTACTGGAGTTATTGTGGTTGTAAAAAATGGTTATTTATTATATTTTGTTGCAATTGTCTTGCTGCTTCTAAATCGATATTAACTCCTCTTACTACTTCATTAACATTATCTACAGCATATATTCCATAATCTATATCAGCAAGGACTTCATTATCTCCAGGCAATGGAATATTGTTTGTTATGCACATATTGTGTAATACAGAACAAGCATTTGCAATTTTACCAGCTTTTGTAGGTGACATATGTAATGTCCGATGCTTTAAAAGACATCGAAATCTATTCTTTAAAACACCATTACACCGTTCAATATTTGACCGTATGCTACAAAAGCTTTGGTTGAATCTTTCTTCACCCCTGGTTTCTGGATTCCTTATTGGTGTTAGTAGCCAAGGGCGTGTTGGATAACCTAAAACAGTATTTTATTTATTTTCCTATTAACTTTTTATCTTATTCTTTGTATTTAAAGCTCTTTACATAAAATTTAGGTAAGCATTTAAAAATTTGAACTAGGGACAAGTGTTATTAGTATAATTAAATATTATTGTACCCGAGTCCCCTATAAGAAAAAAAACATTTCCAGGATCGCGTCGATATATGCCTTCCATCACTTGGGACACACGTGAAGTTCGCCAAATATGGGCATCATGGGTAGAACCAGGAAATTGAGCATTAATATTCATAATTTTTAAATCACAATCACAAATCTAAAACAAAAAAAAAGGACTAAAATTTAATAAAACACTGAGAGCTTTCACATTTCTTCATTAAACCATTACAAATATAAATAATTCCATCAGTGAAACCAAAATTAGAAAAAAATTGTGACATTCTTGTAAGTACTGTTTTCATTCTATACATTGACACGTATGTATGTATTGCAATCATACTTTCAGTTACCTACTTATATTTGTAATTTGCAGTGTTGCTGAAGGCGTTATAAATAATTGCAAAATCTTTTACTGGTAACAGTATTTTATTTATATTTAGGTACTTACAAGCTGGACATTAAGCGAATGGTAATGTTTTCGGTTCACATAAATGTGTTCAGGATAAATGGGGTGGTTTACAGGTGGAGCAATGATGGCAATATGGGTACAATCAATGCACCCAATGACTCCTGGAAAATGGTATTTTTCATAAAACCTAAAAATATTCAGTTACATGTTTTTACAGTAGCTTAATGTCTTTTAAATCTACCACACTAACTTTTTAAGTAATATGAAATACTGAGGCAGGATTCTACCTTGTTCGAACAGACTCCAACTCTTCCATGTTTCTGGGAAAATGAATCCAAGCATTCATAATTTCAGGTTCATTTAACGCATTTGTTACATCTTCAATGCTTCTGCTAACAGACGCTTGACTTATGCCAATGTAAGCATTGCTGCCTGTTATCTCTTGATAACTTCCAAACCCATAAAATTTTAAAGCAGCGAGAACCTAAACGTAAGACAGTATAAATGTCCTGTCCCTGTGGCATATTTAATCTACCTTAAAATTATATTTTCTCACCTTTAATTTCACTGGTAATGCTGATCTACGGTTTGGTTGTTCAATAAATGGAGTCACCAAATCAATGACTTCTCGACATAATTCTTTTGTCAGTCTAAAGTTTTGAATAAATTTACGATCTGAAAGAGTGTTAAATGGATCTCTTTTAAGTAATACTTCTCTACCTATTATTAGGTCTTCTTCAGCGTCTTGAAGATCTTGTTGAATATTATTCCAAATTAGTAATTCATTTAAATCCATTTTTTGATGACAAGTAATTAACACAATTTTCAGGTTAGAATCCTTTTTCTGTGGTTAGAATTAAGCTCCCTTGTTGCATTCTCTCACAAATGTGGAAGAGATACATTTGTTCCCTAGGGAGCATTTTATTCTCTTGCTTTTCAATAGAACATAGTTCAAGAATACGGGTTTTAAATTCTTGAGAGAACCACGCCCACTTTCTCTTTACTGTTCTATTCTACTAGCGTCAAGAATAGGGGCCCCGTAGATCCTAGATATTCCGTCTCCCTCCTCCAAAACTCCTTAGACCAACTTGAAACCTGGTGCAACAGGTGGAAAGTCAAAATTAATCCCAACAAAAGTTCGGCTATCCTTTTTACCAAACGAAAAATCCCACAAAACCTCGACAGACTGACACTATCCCAGGAACCTATCTCCTGGAATCGACAAACACGATACCTGGGCGTGACGATGGACCAGCGTCTCACGTGGAAACCGCACATCGTGGAGACGGTGGCGCGAGCGAAGACCACCAGGGCTAGGCTCTATCCCTTACTCAAAGGTGGAAACACCCTCAGTTTAAGGAATAAGCGAACGCTTATCAAGGTGGTACTTCAACCGCAGCTAACCTACGCCTCCACGGCGTGGGGTCACGCGGCAAAAAGCCACTTAAAGTCATTACAGGCTGTGGAAAACATAGCCCTCCGCACGGCCACCGACGCGCCCTGGTACGTAAGAAACACTGACATATTACGAGACTTACAATACACAAACGCTACACAGACAATAAGACAAAACGCGGAGAAACGATTTGACGTAGCCGCTAGACATGACAATCCCCTCCTCAGGCAAGCCGTTGACTACGTACCCGACGTGACCGACAAACACAAAAGACCTAGACACCAACTTTTTGACCCTGGGTGACCACCCCAATGACCCCCCCCCTGCCCGCTAACCTTTTCTGTTTCAGAGACAGCCAGGATCAAGAAACGAAGACAACGACACACACACACACATACACACCCCCCATACCCTCCTTAACCCTCCCCTCCCGCGCTAGCCTAAGGGCCACCTTAGCAAAGCGCATCCCAGGCTGCATAGCCGCACTACCCTACCCAACCATACCACACATAAACATGACACTACCCCCGGGGTTTACACAGACGAGCCGGCGAAGCAAGAAGAGCGCCAGAAGAAAGGGCCCTAGCCGGCGGGGCCCAGCCAGGACAAAAGGAGGTCCCACAAAGCGCCTACACCGGCCGCATTTGCGGTCGGGGTAGACGACGGATGGGGCCCACCTACGAAGGCTGTCCATACCCAAGGATTTTATACAAGAGGATTGCTCGATCCCATTTAAGCCTATGTTCGCCAAATAAAATGTCAAACGCTCGAATACGTGACGTCACTGCGTTACCTCCGTGCTATGTTTACATATGTAAAACGGCTCATTTTCCTTATTTTCCGTGTGTTTTTTGTGGATTATTGTTCGTTTAGAGGATTTATCGTCACTGTTATTATTAATTGACGTTATATACGTAGTTTGTTGTTGTTAGTTCTTGTTAACTTATTAATATAGTTCGTTATTATTGTGTTACTGTTTGTGGTAGTTTAGTGTTCAGAGACTTTAAAGCCTGTAATAGAGTTTTAATTTTACTCAAAAGGTAATAAATTTAATATATTTTTTTAGACATGTATATAAATACTTAAATTTCTTTATGTTTTTAGGTTAATCTTTAATAAAAAAAAGATGCCTGGTCTTCGATGTGCAGTTTATGGCTGCAATAACAGTTTTGTTGAGGTAAAAGCCAAAGGGGAAGATATCAAATTTTTTCCATTTCCAAAATCTAATAATTTAGTTTCACAAACAATTTACAAGGAGTGGATAAATCGTTGTAAGAGGCAGGACAGTTTTAATCCGAATCATAGCCGAATATGTTCTATTCATTTTACCAGTAATGATTTTGAGAGAGACCTGAAGAATGAACTTTTAGGTTAGTACATATAACAAGTATTATAATACTGGGTTTCTTTTGATTTAATGAAAATTACTTAAGTAATGTGTTTTTAGGATTACCTACAAAAAAAATGTTAAAGAAAATGGCTGTTCCCACGAAGCATTTGCCACTTCAGAGTAAAAAAATGTGTACTTCATCCAGAGAGAAGAGACTATTAATCCATGAAAAAAAAACAGTTGTGCAAGAAATTTTAAAACAGAGCAACATAGAAAATATACCTGAAACTGCAGTTCCTTCTACTTCTGAAACTAATCTAGAGTTTAGTGTACTTCCTTCTGGTGATATGTCAGTGTGCTCTTCAACATGTACAGATTATGAGAAATTGTACAAAGATCTTTCTGTGAAATATAATACTCTAATTTCAAGGTATGCAGAAATTAAACATTCTAGTACAAGCAGAATAAAAGCGTTAAATGATCAACTGAGATATTACAAAGTTAAACAGTGCCGTGCTCTGATTACAAAATCAAAAAAAAACAGATCCCTCAACAGCTCTATTAAAAAAAGTTTTAACAGATAATCAAATCGCTCTACTTACAAAAAAGAAGAAGAGGGTTAATTGGACAAGAGAGAAAATTTCTGTAGCATTTACATTATGCAATAGGCAATAAATTCTACTAAAAGGAAATCAAGTTGCACGTATGATTCTAAAAGAAGTAAATTTAGAAAATTAAATAAGTTACTTACTGTGTAAGTTGTATATGTATATAGTTTAATTTTTTTAATCGTTAGTAAGTTAGTATAAAAAACTGATTCAAGACCGCAAATGTAATTTCTCCCATTGATTTTTGAATACAAATATGCCTATCTGTTGTATTTCATATTATTTTGTGAATGCAAATTGAAATAAAACATTAGTAAGGTATGAGTTTTTTCTGGACCTCGTTAAAAATTTTCAAAGTATACGGAGTCTGCTTAAAATTACTTGCCGACTCCTGGTTTAGGTGCTTGATTCAACTGTAATAACTTTATTAGAAGTGCATAGTGCTATTTTAATAGAACTTCAAAATTTACTACCCTAAAAATATATAAATCAAACAATAAACAAATGTTTAATCAAGAAGCAAATCTTAGTCTCACGCATCGCTCCAATAGGTATAAGCCATGCTAAATGTTGGTCCTGCTCGTGAAAGAATATGCTATTTTACCGAGTGTGATTTTATCCTTTCCAATAATTAATATTTTTCCTATCAATTTTGAATATTTATCCTTACGTAATAATTTTATTTTTCATAGGTTGTACGAGCAGCGATATTCAAATGGTAGGTATGTATATTTGTAATTCAAACAAAAGTAGTAAAACGACAATATTTGTATATTATATTTTTGGTAACTTTTTTAACTCCGTTCCCTATTCTTTATTATATCTAAAAAATAGTGTATTTCTAAGTAAACGGCTACAATATTTCTCTAATTGCTGTGCAAATTAAACCACCTAAATATTCTAATATTGTAGGGACATATCACTTTCTTAATGTCTGTTTAATTATTTGTCAATATTACTAAACATAATATGTTTTTAAGGAATAGCTTAATTTTTCCTTTTAGTGTTAAAGTTCCCACTAAATTGGAGGTAACATAATGACGTCACACAACATAACCTAGTTTCGCGGAAATAAGTTTGTTATTAAGCAATCCTCTTGTATAAAATCCTTGGTCCAGGCCTACACGAGATGAGGCAGGATAGAGAGGGATAATCCCCCTCGATCCCAAATCATTGAGGCCAATTTCTAGCCATGGAATAATGGCGGAGTAGAATTTAAACGAAGTACTAGGCGGGACTATCTCTATCTCTCTCGCACACGTCTGTGCGATTGCCGTTTAGTTTGGCAAAAAAACAGTTGGAGTCCAGCAGTTTATAAAGTCTATGGCAACAACCTACTCCATTTAACGCATATATGTAATACTAGTAGTATTATATATATGATTTAACGACCTTGGGTTCGAGGTTATGTTTGTGTTTCATTCAAATGAAGAATTGTAAATATAACAAAATATCTACGACCCAGTTCAAGATAAATATATTAATAGAATGATATAGTTCTATTAATATTAATAGTACTTATTTGAACATGTCGAAATTGGATGCCAACAGTACTTTCATGAACATCCCCCTAAAGTTTCCACGTGAGAAAGTACAATTAACGACTCTTGAAGAAAAACGCATGGTCTTGAACAACTATGAACGTTTAAAAAAACAGAATTCAAAGATATCTACTGTGGAAATAGCACGACTAGTTAATAGAGTGACTGGTATTGACCGTATAACAATATTTCGCATCATACGTGAATATAAAAATACACATAAATTGAAAATGCCAAAAGTCAGACGGCGACGACAGAAATGTATGGATAAATTTCTTAAAAATGCTGTATGTCGAATTGTACACGATTTTTTTTTTAAAAACAAATTTCCTACACTTAACAAAGTGTTGGCAGTTGTGAATGAAGATGGGAATTTGCCACAATTTAAGCGACCAACTTTTTATGGGTTGCTGAAGAGTATGAATTTTAAGTTTATCTGTCGTGGTCGTGACAATATGCTCATAGAAAAAGAAGAGATAGTGTTGTGGAGGAGACAGTATTTGCGTGCTCTTAGCAAATATCGACGAGAAGGGCGTAAGATATATTACCTTGGCGAAACATGCTTCAGTAGTGAATGTGGTAAATCAGATGTATGGTATGGTAGATATAAGGACTTGAAGAAAACAACAGAGGAAGGTGTAATTGTTTGCCACATTGGTAGCAATAAAGGATTTGTTAAAGAAGGTTTATGGGTTTTCAAATCAAACAAGCTTGAAAATTGTGCCGAGGAGATGAGTTGTGCCAGTTTCGAACATTGGTTTGTGAATGTGCTACAGCATCTCGAAGACAATAGCGTCATTGTCATGGATAATGCACCATGTCATTCTCGCAGGGTCGAGCAGATTCCAACTGCGGCAACAAAGAAGGTGGACATTGAGTTGTGGCTCACAAAGAAACAGATACCATTTGATGGTACTTTGATAAAAGTTGAGCTCTTGGACATTGTTCGTATGCATAAGCTAAAATACAATAAATACATATGTGATGAACTTGCGCAACAGTGTAATAAAATAGTACTACGTCTTCCCCCTTATCATAATGAGCTTAATCCTATCGAGACTATTTGGACTCAATTAAAAAATGAAATTACTGCATGCAGCATGACTTTTAAGTTCGGTAATGTTTGCGAAGCTGTAAATTCTATTACTTGGGACAAATGGAGAGACTGTGTCGATTATGTTCATAATACTGTAGAACCCTGGATGTGGAAATTAGACAATTTGATGGAACTGCAGACAGACTTTACGGAGTGTTTTGTATCATGAAAATTAAAATCGAATAACATTTTTTTCTAAAACAGTTTCTAATGTCTTCGTGATCCTTCAAAGGTGGGATATGAAATATAATTTTTATTCAGTTATTCAGGAAAAAATAAACATATTTGAAGCTTGATGTGCTGTAATTCCCTTTTGGTAGTCATATATACAGGCTGTCCTGATTTTTAGGCATGTTAGTTATTAACATAGTAAGTAATTAAAAAATAAACGGTGTTTAAAATGTTAGTTATTAAATAGGTCCTAAGAAAATGTAAGTTGTTCAACTAAAACTTAATCATAACTGCAACTTCTAAGCCTGTTATTTTTTAAGAGCCAATTTTTCAAAAATTGTATTAGCCATTTTATCATTCAAAATCTAATATAACGTGATGTTATTATACATCCTCTGTAATTATTTTGCAAGAAACAATGTAAATTGCCATTTTTTTCAACACTAAGGTAAACAATAATTGGTATCACATTAGTAGTTGGCGCTTTTAATTTTAAACAGATAAAATGGGCTTTTGAAACGATTTTTAATAAATATGTGAACGCCATAGTAGCACCTGTAAGGTGTCAACTAACGAATGTTACATACCTTAAGGATATAATCTAGAACCCAAATGATGTCGATATAACCAAACTTGCTTAACAAAAAATGTCGCAAAAAAAGTGTTTCTTTTTTTATTTCCTGTTTTCTCCTTAACTCAGAACCTAATTAACTAATTAATTGATCAAAATTTGCTGTTGTTTAGTTTCTCTTCATGAATTATATAGTGATTATGTTCCTATTAGTTTAAATCATACAGGGCGTTCATTTTAGTACAGCCCTTTGTGAATATTCTTCTGTAACTTTTTTGCACATTTAAATTTTTACACACAATTATCAGAAATACTTTGGTAGAGAATTTTATTTTACACAAAAAATGTATACTTACCTATCAAAAGTAGAAATTATGCTCGGTTATGAAGATATTACAGAAAATATTTATTAACACATACCCCGTATTTTTTGAAAATAACTACATCCGTAAATAATATAATAAACTCCCCCATTCTCTTCGACAATTTTCCTTAAACGTTTTATGAAACTATTGAGAATAGCAAATAAATTATACGTTCATCTAATTTATTATAAATTAGTAGCCTTTTTATTACTGCCACCTTTCAGTTTATTATGTTATTATGTTTATTAAGGGTACGTAGTTATTTTGAAAAAGTATGGGTTATGTCTTAATAAATATTTTTTATGTAGAATAAAATTCTCTACCTATTTCTGATAGTTACGTGTAAAAATTTAAACGTACAAAGAATACAGAAGAATATTCACATATTCATAAAATGATCGCTCTGTTTGATTTGACCTAATAGGAACATCATCAATGACTTTATGAAGAGAAACTAAGCAACAACAAATTTTGCTCAAATTGATTAAGTGGGTTCTGAGTTAAGGGGGAGTAGGGTTAATTGGATACAAAAAAAGCATATTTTCGATATTTTTTTTTTGATGACACAATTAATATATATTTATTTCTATAATTACTAAATGATAAAATAACATTTAAAGAATATTTTGTGAAATTTTCATTAATAAATATCAAGAAATGGGTAATTGAAAACGAATCTCCGCAGACGTCTCAAAAAAAAGTTTGATTGTGGTGCCACTCATAAGTCATCACTGGATCATCTGAAATCAAAAAGCCAAAGTGATTTCCTTAGCTGATAATTTTCTGTATTATTGATTTTTCGTTAGTTTTACTCCCATCGACTTCAAATTGTCACACAATAATCTTAATATGTTGTACATTAATTTAAAAAAATAAAAAATACCTTACCCCCCCCTTAAGGAGAAAACAAGAAATAAAAAAAGAAACTTTAACACCCTGTAACTTAGTTTTGCGACATTATTCGTTTAAGCAAGTTTGGTTAAATCAACACCATTTAGGTTCTAGATTATACCCTTGAAGTATGTAACATTCGTTAGGTGACACCCTGTATAAACTTACCCTGCCTTACAGAACTATTTCAAACCACAATTATACGTTGCCACTAATTTTGCTTTTAGAGGTCACGCTTAGTTTTGTTTAAGTGAATATTCCATGCAGAAGTGTTAGGAAGGTAAGTTTAAAATAAAATTAAATACGGTAATCAAACTGTAAATGATCATGACTTATTGTAATAAACTGATTCTAGCTTGCAAAGTATAGTTGAGGCTTGATATCAAATATTAATGCAAAAGGAAATAAATTTCTAGTAGTTGACACACTACTATTACTGTTTACCATAGAACTTCACATAAATACTTCTGTAATACATTTTTTCAGCCATATTAATTTTCTCATTGTTTACTAAAATCTGAATTTTCAGTTTCATTATGTCCTAAAAAGGTGCGAATGTTCAAATATACTGGATATGATATAGAAAAAGCCATCAAGTAAGTCCTACGAGGTCAGGTAGTTTCCATGACCGCCAAGAATCCATGTCCAATGATTGGCTTGAGTGACATTATTATATAAATTAAAGGGTAACACTTCCCGGAAGCAAAAAATGGAATAACAACCATACGTAAAAGTACAAAAAAATGCTTTTAAAATGGACCTAAAATCATAGCAAAAACCGGTTTTACTGTACAGCATCACCAACTTATAAACAGTTCTCAGCTATAAGAATTCTGAATAATTTTCTAGTGAAAATACAATCCTTTTTTTTATAAAAAGAAGCTGTTAAGATTTAAAACCCATTACATATGCCTTTACTTTGTTTTAGGTGCTTATGAAGGTATTAAAGAGAAACCCTGAAGGGTCACCAAAACTTTATATCCACAATATAGGCAGTGAACGTTGGTTCCATGAGGTATACAGCTATTTTCAGAAGAATAATTGTGAGAACATTTTAAAAAATCCAGTACCATGCATAATAGAGTAACGCAGGCACGAAAACATTCTTCCTTAACCCAAAAGGAAATAAAGTGTTGGCATCTAAAGGTGAGTTTATCATCAAATTAACCCATATAGAAAAGAATGTCTAACAGTCCTAATTACAGGGAATGCAGCAGGTTAATTAATTAGTCGAGGTTTTGCTCTCAACATAAATAACATTAATTTGGTAGCTCTTTACCCAAATGCAATGCATTTGCTTTAACCAATGCAGCAGTCCTTCGATCACTGAAAGGAGGTTGAAAAGATGCAGTACACCAGTGGCAGATCAATAATTGTGATTTTCCAATTTTAAGGAAAATCCACTTTTGTTCTCTTTTGAAGAAAGTAAAGTGGCATCATGAATTTTGGAGAATAGATTCTGAAAATGTGGTTTAGTTCCCTGGAGCCTTACATTTTCTAATGAAAAGGTCAATATTGTCAAAAAAGAGCAGGAACTTCAAGATGTGAAGAGTGAAACATTTTATGGCAAAGTACATAAATAAAAGTCAACATTATTCAGAACAAGTGTGGATTGGAACGGTGATTATCACAATTTGTCTCCTATTTGCTTTGTACCAAAATATTTGCTAGAAATGCAGTAATCTAGAAAAGGCTGGTAAAAATTTTGAATCTAAGAAAATACAACTATATGATGAATTAATCACTGAAGATATCGACATAAACACGGACAACATTCATCTCAATAAAGATGTCAATCATGATAACGTAAAATAAAAAGTCTTAAACACGGAAGCAGCTGAACGACAATGATGAAACAAATTAATTCATGACTTCACAAAGTGACATTAGTACCAATAATGACTTCACTAATCAAATATCTAAAATACCAGGAGAATCCCTGACACAATCAGATGTAGATATATCGGCGATTTTAAAGTCACATGCAACCCCAATTAAGAAAAACCATAAGATAACCAATCATTTGCAACAATTTAAGAACATGATATTTCAAAGACACAACTACTGACTCTTCCTCAGCAATGCAAAAACCGTGTGCTTATTCCCTATCGAACAGAATTATACCTTTACCATTTAAGTGGGTGGTTTTTTGGCTTAGACCCAAACCATGTATAGTGGAAAATGAACCTGAAATTACTAGTTCAAAAGAAGTTATCATGAAAGTAAAGAAAAGAAGATGAGGCTAATAGAAGAAAAAAAACAAGAAAAATGAAAGTAAAAACAATTGATCTGGAAGAAACAAAAAACTTATGGCAAGAAAAGTGAATATTCATCTAGCAATGGCGGTGATGAATGATGGATGTATCGGGCTGCAGCCTTGATATATCTTCTGTGAAACCCAATACTAATTTTAACAGTCACATGGAAAATATTTGACAGATCCAGCGGCAGCCCTAGCCCTTGATCAGGGTAGAGCGAGATTGTCTTTCGGCGCCCTTTCATTTCACATAAGTTGTATTTCAGTTTATGTTAAATAAATAATAATTACCAACTTTTTCAAAAATAAACTTTCATTGCAAAAATCAACACTTATTGAAGTTAAATTAAATTATTCTTACATAAGCAAAGTTCCTAAAGCAGGTATAATTAAATTAGTACTTGGTGTTAATCTCAGTCAGTCATTAAATAATAAAATCTGTTACCTATGTAGATATTGTAATAACATAATTAAAAGAAAACATGATATCACATTTGTTATATTGATTTTAATTTAAATTAACTTATACAAAGTTTACCTTTCCTGCTTTCGGACTGGCAAATACAATTAAATTATTTTTAGGCGCCATCAAAATTTTATTTTGCAGTCAATATTGTTTTTTGCATTTGGCATTTTGGCGCCCCTTGCCACCTGGCGCCTAGAGTGACTACTCCTCTCGCTCTACTATATGGCCGGTGCTGGACAGACCGCTTGTAAAGAAAGTGAACATGTACTGGTTAAATTTTCTATAAAGAAAAGAAAACATAAATATGCTTGCATTATACAAAGAACTTTTTCAAAATAGTATAAATTAATACAAGGACAGTAAAACCGTCTTTAAATCAAATAATACAGATATCAATGTTATACAGGGTGAGCCAGTTTTTTGTAGTCAAACTTTAACAGGAGATAGAACACATGTTTTTAAAAACAAAAGTTCCTATCAACATATGTCGTAGAAGGCTTCGTTTCCGAGGGTGTTGTATATAATTTTTTTTTTCGAATTTTCATTATAACATAAACAAATGCTTAGATTTTTTCATGTTTGGGAGATAATGCCTTTTAATTAAGGGGCATAAAACAAGCGATAAAAATGTTAAAAAACTTGCACAGTGGCGGAGTGTATCAAGGGGTGCTCAACCCCTTTCTTAAACAGATTTTCTACGCCAATGACTATTTAAAAAAAAACTTACTTTCATTATCTACATACAGCTTAACAAACATAATGTCCCTTCTTCTGTTTCGAAAATCCTGTGCGTTTCCAAGTTATTTTGATTTTTAGTGTTTGATGTAGTGTACTAAATTAAGTAATTTATTTATTAATCAATTATCAGCTAAATATTTAATTCTTTCAATGAAACCTACCTAAATATGGTTTGTTAAGGATTCTAAAAAGCCGAAATCTCTTATTCTTTATCTCTTTCCAATGTTGTCAAAATAAATATTTGTTATATCAATAAGCCATACTCAAATACAAGACTTTTATAATCAGAAATCTGTTACATTACATACATACAATACATTATTGTGCAGTTGCCAAAAAGTTTCAAGAAGCTTAAAGTTTTATTAAACTTGTGTATGTACCACTCCGTTTCAATTTTCATTGTTTTTTACTAAATAATTTTTTGAAACGAGCAAATGCAACTGTATGTATAGTATTGCAACAAAATATTGTACTCCTTGGAAAACAACTAAGTATTAAATGTCATATTTTGAAACGACAGTTTGACTTATTACAAGTTTATCTACAAACACTATTGCTTCATCTTGAATATTTTCACTGTTATTAAATATTGTTTTTAAGTTTAAAAAGTTATTTCATTTGATTTGCCAGCTTTTAATTAGTGTAACATGTCGCTTACATTTACAAATAGCGAACATATTAATTATTTATGTGGGTTCTTAACTCCATTCAAAATAATAGAGATTTCTTATCCAACATACTGTGGACTGATGATTCCTGTTTTATTCGTCGTGGTTTGGTAAATTTTCACAATCTGCGTGTATAAGCACATGAAAACCCACATGCTATTTGACCAAGAAGTTTTCAACATGAATTTAGTACAAATGTCTGGATTCTTGCCACAACGTGTAAATTCAGAAAATTTCCTACAATTTTTAGAAGAGCATGGTAATATGTGGGAAGACATTCCTTTGAATTTAAGAGGACAGTCTTGGATTCCCCGATTTAACGCCACTTGACTTTTTTGTGTGGGGATTCATTAAGGAAAAAGTGTATACCACTCCGGTTAATACATTTAAAGAACTTCACAATCGCATCAGAGATGTTTGCAATGAAATAAGGGTGCATCATTTAGTTAACTTAAGACGTTCTAATGTACGTCACTGTGAAATGTGTGTTGAAAAGAACGGTTTACATTTTGAACAAAGTGTCTAATTTTATTATACTAGTATTATTGTTATTAATTGGTGTAATTGTTATTTATAAATCGTTATTGCTAAAAATTGTTATTAATTCCACAATTGTTAATTAAATATTGTTATAAATTAAAAAAATTTCTCCATAAACATTAACATAAATGTTCATTCAATGTTTTTTTTGTAATTTAGTTGCAGTACATTAGTATTTACGAAGCACATAATAAATAAGGATTGTTAAAATTAGTGTACTAAACAGATTTCAACTTATGTCTTGTATTTGAGTATGGCTTGATATAACAAATATTTATTTTGACTACATTGGAAAGAGATAAAGAATAAGAGATTTCGGCTTAATCCTTAACAAACCATATTTAGGTAGGTTTCATTGAAAGAATTAAATATTTAGCCGATAAATTGATAATAAATAAATTACTTAATTTAGTACCACATTAAACAGCAAAAATCAAAATAACTCGGAAACACACAGGAATTTCGAAACAGAAGATGGGACATACATTATGTTTGTTAAACTGTATGTGGATAGGTAATGAAAATAACAGTTTTTTGTTTTAAATAATCATTGGCGTAGAAGTTCTGTTTAAGAAACTGGTTGAGCACTCCGTCCATTCCGCGACTGTGCAAGTTTTTGAACATTCTTATCGCTTGTTTTATGCCCCTTAATTAATAGGAATTATCCCTCAAACATGAAAAAAATCTAAGCATTCCTTTACGTTATAATGAAAATTCGAAAAAAAATTATATTCAACACCCTGTATCTCGGAAACGATGTCTACGACATATGTTCATAGGAACTTTTCTTTTTAAAAACATGTGTTCTATCTCTTATTAAAGTTTGTCTACAAAAAAACTGACTCACCCTGTACAGTACAATCAAATATTGCAGAAACTGCTATAAAATGGCAGCCAGTTGATGTAGGTGAATACTAATACATGCAGCTTTTATTTTATTTAAATATTTTATCATCTTATTTTCACCTATTATTGTTAAATATAATATTTAAATAATATTTTATGAATAAATAAATTATTATGATACTTAATTAGGTACTTTATTAAAGTTCAGTGGTCAATTTATTAATATTTCTATGTGTTAGCTACCCGATTTTTTATTTTTTGAAGTCAACTGCCGCCAAAGAAAGTACTTTTTTGTGTGATAATTCGATAATTGTCGTATTCCAACCTTCGAGCGATCTTCAGGATTTTCGAACCCTCTGATATACCCAGACATCGTTCCGTATCTATGAACATGCCTGCGGTCATCAGATTGGAAAGGAACAGTCAAATTCACCTACCTTTCCAATCTAATCTGACAAGCCGCCACGGTTGGACATCCCACCGCCGTTGCCCTGCCAAGCAACGGGTATATTTTCCGCGGTATATTTTCCACCATCGGACTCGATGCCG